GTTTTGCTGTGGATCAGCTTAGGATAGCTTATGTTCCCAGACAGATTATGTAAAGAAAATAACTGCTTTCCTCCCTGGATGAACAGCTGTCATGAATGAAAAGTAACCTGGCAGAGGCCTAAAAGTCAATTCACTCTGTTGAGATTCAAGATATTTTTTTAAAAACAGTAATAAAAGCAGCGTTTGTTATATCCTCATTACTCACAAGACAGTTGAGTACACTGTAGTGGTTAAAAACGGACCCTACCCCGCAGAAATTTACCTCCTGTCTCATAAGTAAACTTGGCGCAATCATGGTTATGAACCTTGCAAGGCTCTTGGGACAATAGAGCGCTTGGACCAGTCTGAGGCACAGAATAAGCCTTCAGTGAGCACCAACTTTCTTTTTCTTTCTTCTAGTCAATGCTCTACTACCTAGTCACAATTCCACCCAGCGTCAACCTTTTATTTTTACAGTGGGGCACTTGTGATGCTCTTCATAAACACTACCGCTAACCCTCTGGACAGACCTCTGAAGTTGGCCCATCTCAACTTTATGGCGAGGGAAGCAGGAGGTACAGTCAGAAAATGGCAAAAGAGGAAAGGCACCCACATCAGCCTGACTCTCAGGCACTGCCACACCACTCTTCAAGCTGAGGAAGATGAAAATGGGCAGGTGTCCCAGGAGAGAAATGTGCTCCAGAATCACACTGAGTGCTTGAGAACCTTCTAAGTTTTTCATTTTCTGGACGGTATCAGGGTATCTATGAAGTGGAACATATCAGGAAGTATAACTATGAGTCAGCTGCCTGATAAACCAGCCAGGATGGAGCCTACGTCATCGAGGGAGTTGAGACTGTCACGGAAAACATCAGCAGCTTGTTGCGGTATAGATTTCCCACCACAGTATTAGAGTTCAAAGAGAAGAGGCTAGATGCTTTGAAAGTCACATTATCAAATATTAAGTTTTTTATTTCACTAGTTATACTCACATTATCATAGCAGAAATTCACTTTACAAATTTCTGCTAGTTTATCATGGGACTCTGGGTGCACAGAATCATGTTCAAAGCTAGAATAGTACAATTATACTTGTTGCACCAATCAGAACTTCTTGACTTAAATGAATTCAATTCAGCAACCACCTGTTGAGTCCCTATCATAAGATAATACTATTCCAGAGACCACATGAGAAAGGGATAGCCCTGATATCAAGGAAGTACCTCTAGAGCTGTGCTGACTAATACAGCACCACTTCTGGCTATTTAAACTTCAGTTAATTAAAATTAATAATTCTGTGCCTCAGATGCATTAGGCATATTTCAAATGCTCAAGGGCCATGTGTGGTTACTGGTTACCATATTGGACAGGACAGATACAGAACAATTCTACCATCCTAGAAAGTTCTGACTGGACAGCTTCTTGTTCAGGAATGTTACGTCCTGACTTATGTCTGGGCTGTGGCTTACTCCCAAAGGACTGAGGGCATCAGCATCCCCTGCGGCATCGGAACTGAGGACAAGGATGCAGATTCTGCTTCTGACCTACGTTGCTCTTGGGCAAGGTCCTTTGCTCCTCTGGCCCAGTTTGTTCACCAGCAAAGCAAGGATACCCAACCATACTTAAGTGAGACTCATGCCTGTCCCGGTGCCTTGTGAAGCCGAGGGAACTGGCAGAATGTTCTGTGTGTGTCAAATTATGAAGCAGGTAGAATTTCAGTTCCCAAGATGTTTTCATTTTAGAAATTTAATTTGAGACTGACTCTAATTGCACATTCTTTATCTGCAGTTCTTTTAAAAATTGAGACATAATATTTGTACATTTTTATGAGATACATTATGATAATTGAAATCATGTACATAATGTAATAATCAAATCAGGATACTAAGCATTCCAGTTCTTTAGCCATTAATCATTTTTATATGTTGGGAACGTCACACTTTTCTTCTTAGTCATTTTGAAATATATCGTATTGTTTTAACCAATAGTTATCCTACTGTGCAAAAAAAAGAGAAAAAGAACCAGTAGTAGCTCCTCCGCTCTACCTGGTGTACCTTACTGATCTTCTTTCCATTCCCCCTTCCCCCAGCCTTCCCAGGCTCTAGCGACCACGGTTCCATTTGATTACTCTATAAGATCGATCTACTACTTTCCATAAATGAGTGAGATGTGTGTTTGTCCTCCTGTGTCCAGCTTATTTCACTTAACTATATGTGCAGTCCTAAACTTAACCAACTGATAAAATGAGACTGAGCTCTTCTTACTCCTCTTTGCAGACGGTGAGGTCTGCCCACAGCCCGCACAGGAGTGTTTTGTTCATGTGCTCTAGCAGTTGTGTTCTGAAGCCTCCTCGCCCAAGCAGCCGTCACAGCCCCATCCCTCACAGCAGAGTCCATAGCGTTAACACTGCTGAGCACCCCTGGACACTGGCCTGTGGGGAGTCTGTGTGCGAGACCGCCCACAAACGCACAGAACTATAACCATCGCATTACTTCTTTTGAGAAGAAATGTACATTTATCAAGAACTTTGGCGTGTGCTGTACTGAAGCCCTTCATTTCATTTGAGGAGTGGCCAGTGTTAGGCTGGACAATGAATAAATGCCTGATTTCAAGAAAACTAGTACCAGAAAAAAAAAAAAAAAGCAAAACAAAAAAAGCCTTCATTTCTTTTAGCTCCGTGGAGTGTAACTACACTTATTGGTATTTCTTTCATGGCATTTTAAAATTATTACCTTCTTAAGTCTCAGCCACGTTCTCTGGGTACCCATCTAGGGGATACCTGCGCTCTTGCTGCCCACATCAGCTGGAAAGCAGTTTCTTTTGCTTTCTTTTTATCTAAGATACCAGGAGTATTACATGGGAACTGCTCCCAGGCTCTTTCATTCAGGAGACCCAAGGAGGCTGGCTTTGCAACACCTTGGTGTTCAAATACAGCCCCTCCGTAATAAGAAGCTTCTGCATCAAGCTCTGGTGCCCTGCGGCAGGACTAGGGAGTGAGTGGTTCTCAGCGAGCGAGTTGGGTTTCCTGCTTCGTGATAGTACACCCAGAGCTTGGTTTTCTGGCCAGGTCTTTGCATCTGTCCACGTTTGTCGTTTCTTCATTTCTCCTGGTAACAGTTGTGAAATCCAATGAACTGGAGTTTGACACCTTTCCTACCGCCTTGGATAAGTTGCTCAGCCCCACAGAGCCTAAGTTTCCTGGGCTACAAAGCAAGGAAACACTAACTGCTCTCTGCTTACTGTAACAAGACCCAGTGAGCACATGGAAGGCCCTGCCAGCTGCAGGATACCGGTGGGGACTGGACTCTTCTTCCTGCAGCTCCCAACCCACCATAAGGAGCTCAGCCAGAGCTGCAAAGTGCAGAGAGAATTCAAGGTCTGCCAGTTTCTCTCTGATTGCCGCAAGCAGACCTCCTACGGGACTTCAGTCTCCTCTCCAGTTAAAGGAGCATCCAGCTAATTCCCAAGGAGTTGTCTGGTTCCTTGGAGCCTGCGTTACCTCAACAGCCTTCAGACCTAGTCTTACCGCTTTCTTCCTTGCCCCCAACCAGTGGCTCCTTATGGTTATCTGGGTTTGTCCAGATCTCCTAGTTTTAACACCAAAAGCCTTGTGTCCTGGGAACCCCTCGGTTGATTGGTCACACGACAGAATCCAGTAGGGCAAGTGACCTGGTCCCCACCACTCACCCCTGTTTAATTCTTTGTGCCTTGCAACTGACTCCCTGGGAAGCTTTTAATAAAATGCTACACTGTGGCCCTGCTCTGGAGGCTTTGATGTAACTGTTGGGTGGAGCCTGGTATAGGCGTCTTTTTAAGCTTCCCAGTAGTCTGAAGCACAGCTGAGGAGGGGAAGCCCTGCTGCAGTCACATTGTTCCCAAGACACCCTGCTTGCTGTTCCTGGTGACTTAACAGTCCCATTCCTTTGTCTCATCTTCCTCCCACTTAGGAGTCTCTTCCTCCAGGCAGTCTTCCAGGATTCCTCCCTTAGACTAAATCATTCCCAGGTTTCCCTGAGTCTGCTGAGATTGCTTCCATCTGAACTGCTCGTCCCACACTGTGATTGCTGGTTCACGCCAACTCTCTCCTTCATTAAGCTTGAGTTTCCTTCAGGGAGAGACATTATCTTTTTTCCTTGTGTTGCTGGAGCCAGGCAGGCTCTGGCACACTGTGCACTCTCAGTAAGTATTCGGGGAGCAAATTAATCAAGACAAGGCCATCTGACCTCTTAGGAGTTACATTTTAAGAAAGAAGCCTGGACTCAAATATCCCTGGTATATACAGGAACAATCAGTAGAGGAAAAACTGAAATGCCAGTACAATATAAAGGCTTTAACAAGCAGGCTACTTCATCTGTAAATTAAAAGAGAGTCTTCGTTTTGTGCTTTTGTGGGTAATTATTTTTCCTTTTCTAGGAGAAAAAAGAGACTTACTAAGAAAATTTCTCCTCCTCTGCTGGCGTTTCTTATCATAAACTTGTCACTGGAAATAATTTCTCAGATGGAATTATTTTGGCTCCGTGTTTTTCTTTCTTCTTCCCTGTCCTTCCCTCTGCGGGCCATCTTGTGTGTTTGGAGAGAACGGGAAAGGTTTAGTGCTAGGAATGTTTCTCTCTCTCTCCTTAACCCTCTTTTATCGTCAGGCTTTTCTGATCTTCAAAGCAGGCTGTGTCCACTGTGACCCCACCCCCTCGCCTCTCTGTGTGGGGAGTGAGAGCTGTGAGCGTTTTTGTCATTATGAGGACTTGTATATTTGGACAGCCTTGGACAGCTGGGCAGTGCAGTGCCCTCTAACTCGGCAGGGAAAAGCTCAAGTCAGCATTTCCAAGTCCCCTGCACTCCCACACCTAGATGCATTGAGAAATTAGCACCAGATTCCAGAGTTATGCAAACATGAGATTTCTAAGTCTCCTTGCATTTGGCCCATCCCCTGGGACAGCATCTTATCCTCTGCCTTTTTGCACACCGTGGAATCTCTGTGGTTGGTGTTTGTCAGCCTCTCTCCACCCTTGTGATTGTCTGCAGTGCCTGGTCCTGGATAAGTTTGAAAGCTATGATGATGAAATTCAGCTCACTCAACGAGCCTTGTCTCTGCTGGAGGAAAACAGGTTCTGGGCTGGTGTGGTGTTCCCTGACATGTATCCCTGGACCAGCTCCCTACCACCGCACGTAAAGTACAAGATCCGGATGGACATAGATGTGGTGGAGAAAACCAATAAAATCAAGGACAGGTGATGTTTCAGGCAACGCTTGCTGGGTTTTCTGAACTCCATGAAATTACATTTGGTATTAAGTAAAGGATTGTAAAATTAAGCTAAATAAGAGGAAATAAGATATTTTATGCAGCTCAAAGTAGAGCCCTTAAATAAGAGCAAATAGGGTTACAATATGGCTCATAGTCTTCTAGAAATTAGAGCTGCATGGGTAGGAAACTTTAGGGGAAAGATTTAAAAAGAACATATTCCAAGTCACCTTGAGTTTGTCACTTGGGTGAGCTGCCTATTCCTATTCACAGTCTTTATCCCACTTCCTCTGTGTCTCCTTAGGTACTGGGATTCTGGTCCCAGGGCAGACCCCGTGGAAGATCTCCGGTACATCTGGGGAGGCTTTGCCTATCTGCAGGACATGGTTGAGCAGGGAATCACAAGGAGTCAGGCCCGGGTGGAACCTCCGATTGGAATCTATCTCCAGCAGATGCCTTACCCCTGCTTTGTGGATGACTCGTGAGTCCCGGGACCTCACCCTCCTCCTTGACATGCTAGGGGTGCTTGGGGTTGGGCATTCCCAAGGCTTCATTATCTGCAGAAAGAACTCAGTGCCTGGGGCTAGACTGAGGAGAATGGAACTCTGACTGCTCCAGATGGGGACAGGAGAAAGTGAAGAAGGAATTAGTGTTGGAGGTGCAAAAAGGAAGGTGAAAATTAAAGCCCAGGAAGTAAAGTTGGGGGAGGGGAGAAAGGCTTTTTAAATTTCCCACTATGTAACATGTTTGGTATGTGGAAGGTTCTGGTCAGAGTGTTTGCCCAATGATTGCCAAATCAGCAGATTTGGACTCTGCATGGCAAGTAAGTCTGGTTCCTAGGAGCCTCAGAATAATGCAGCTCCTTCTCTAATTAACATTCCCATGATGTATGCTTGATGAAAAGGTGGAGGAATGTGTTGGGTGAGCTTAGACCTTCCTCCTCCACCACCCCCATCCCTGAGTCTGTTCATCCCTTGGCTAGTGGCCTGCTAAGGAAGTAGCCTACTGCTTTGTTGAAAATAGATTTGAGCATTGGTAGAAAGAAGAACAGAGAAGAAAAGGTGCTGGAAAGGCTCGTTCCAGCTGGGGCAGATCGGGTCAGAAACACTCCCAGGACAACAACAGAGACCTGCTGTTGGCTTATGGACTTCACTCCTGGGGCTGAGGGGTAGGGTGGGGGTTGTGGGAAGTTCACCAGAGTGTACCTGTAGGTCTGAAGGGTTCAGGAAGGAGAAAAACATGCCCAGCCTGAAGAAAGGAAGAGTCACATGGCAGTTGGAGAGACTAAAATAAAGCCCAGTATGGACACAGGAAACTTCTCTCAACACTCTAGTCCAATCAGTTCCGCAGCCTCAACTCTGGAAGATTAGAAAGATAACAGTGGGTTTTCTGCACTTGGGGGCGGAGATGTGAAGCAGAGCCCAGGCCCACTCTGGGACCGCAGTGAGAATGGCTGGCAAGGAAGTGGGGGTGCGGCAAGGGTAGGGATTGGGGTCATCTGGTGTGGGAGAGTCCTCTGGTGGCCAACTCCAGAAGTTCCTGACTTATGAGTGCTTCCCTCCCTGCAGTCATTTGGAGTGAAATCACCCCACGCTGGAATTAGGCCCTTCCTGTGACAGCACCCCACAGTTTCCACTAGATAATAAGCCCAAGAGCTTTACAAATGCATCTCACACAGGGAAAATGTGGAAAGCTCACCATAAAGGAATTCCAGTTTGTCAGATGTAACCAGCTTGCTGGAGTGTATATCCAGGGACTGACTCCACCTGTGATGGTTGGTGAGTCAGTGACTATTCGAGCACTGACTTACTGACTGATCATTTGCCTTCCTAAAGTGCCACACTGATTAGTTATCCTGCCTTTCACCCCACATAACTAGAATATAACCTTCCAGAGCAGACAGTACTGGGCTGGTTGACCTGGGGTGGGGGGCGGTCCCAGGTATCAGTCTCATCACCGGTTCCCTTTGTTTGCATCCCACCTCTCAGGCCTCCAGGCCGGTGAGCATGGACCTCTCCGCTCCAATCACATCCTGCAGTCAAGTCTTCAGTCTTTTCCCACATGACCCTACGCTATGTGATGTAGATGGCACGATTTTATGTACACATTTTTCTTATAGAGCATTCATCTGGGCTATTCAGAAAGCCACTATCTTGCTCTAAAGAAAAAGTAGTGCTTCAGGAGAAATGTGAAATATATTAAAATATTCTGGCCCATTGAATGGTCCGTGGAGATTTTAACATTTCCTTTCCCTCCGCCTGAACGTTGTTTTCAATGCACTCATCCAACAATATTGGCTCTGTGTCTACAGGGAATGCTACTATTCTGCTTCTCTCCTCTTGCTTTAGTTTTATGATCATCCTGAACCGCTGTTTCCCTATCTTCATGGTGCTGGCATGGATCTACTCTGTCTCCATGACTGTGAAGGGCATCGTCTTAGAAAAGGAGTTGAGGCTAAAGGAGACCTTGAAAAATCATGGTGTCTCCAATGCAGTGATTTGGTGCACCTGGTTCCTGGACAGCTTCTCGATCATGTCAATGAGCATCTTTCTCCTGACACTATTCATCATGGTAAGCCAAAGGGAGAAGGCCCAGAAATGTTTGAATAGGTTTTTCCCCCACCTTTCCTTCTGTTAATGAACTTTTCCCTGGATTAGTCATCTGGCCACCAAGTGAAGAATGACGTCTAACTTCCCAGCCCTTTCAGCCTAGGTAGAAAGCACTAGAGAGACACAATGTGCCCCGAAGAGCCTCTGTATCATAACATCTTTCCGTCTCCCACTTCCTGCCTAGGGAGCTGCAGCATATTTAGACTTCCCAGGCCCGTTCCATGGCCATCTGGAGATGTTGCTATTAGCAGAGCTCAGCACAGGGTGGTTGTGTGCTCAAAGGGCCCCTCTCTTTCCAAACAGAGAAACGAGGTCAAGACGTGTTTTCTGGGATTACCATTCCAACAACTCACTGGTTGGAATGTGGAGGGCCCTTCCACAGTAGTCATAGGGAAGGGAGCTGGACTGTTTATTAATCATCATCATGGCCAGACCATGCATGGCTTCACCAAGAAACATTCTGCTGCCTGCAAAGTTTCTAAGACTTCTCTGTTTTAAAGAATGGAACTTGGCTGGGGATTTAGCTCAGCGGCACAGCGCCTGCCTGGCAAATGTGAAGTCATGAGTTCAATTCCCAGTACCAGAAAAAAACAACAGAAAAAAACCCAAAAAAATAAAAAAATAAAAACTGACTGGGGATTTAGCTCAGCGGCACAGCACTTGCCTGGCAAGCTCAAGGTTGTGAGTTTGATTCCCAGTACAGGAAAAAAAAAAAAAAAAACATTTTAAAAATTAATAAAAGAAAAGAATGGAATTTGGAGTTCATCAGTGACTAGTAGTTTTTTATAGCCTGACTGCACTGGTCCATCCTCTGCAAACTTGCAACTCCCTTGCAAGCTGGAGTTAGAAATAAAACCTCATTTCACAATACACTGCTCTCCTTCATTTCTAGTTCTTCCACAGTAGATGATCTCTTGTGCTTGTTCACCAATAAGTGCATAAATTTGATCATTTTAATATTTTATTGGACGGAATCTGGTCGAGTTTTTATACTTCAGCGTCTGCAAGCTCCTGAGATAAACTCAGCAGGTTTGTTCTGCTCTTCTTCATCACACTGAGTGCCCCTCTGTAACTGGCAGTATATGCTAGACCGCACCTGGCGCCTACCTGATTCAGAATGTTCCTTCATAAATCCTGTCCAACTAACACACGTCCATTTACACCAGAGCCTGCCCTTTCTCTTCACAGTAAAATGTCTTAGGTCTCAGTTTTGTTTGTTAATATTGCATTGTAATCCAATGTGCTGTGGCCTTTGCCAAAACCTTGTGCAAGAATTTGATCAAAACCAGTGCAGAAATAGAGGTCACTCTGCTCAAATAACTTCACCGCACCCAATAGAGCTTTGCCTTTGCCAAGGGTTTCAGAGCTCCACAGAGACGAGGGGAGCAACTGAACCCCTTGCTATCCACTCGGTCTACTCCTCCTCTGAGGACCTTTTGTGTCTTTAGAATTAAAGGAGTCAATGAGTAAATGAGTAAATCCGACTGAATGGCTGAGAGATTTTGCCTGACTTGTTTCTAGTAAGTGACCATGAGCTCTGCCTTCCTGAAATGGACCAGTAAGACTTCAAAGCTTTCAGGCTGTGAGGTGAAAACGTTCACCAACAGTTTGAAGCACAAAGAGACTTCTCCTTGTGGGAACTAGAATATTGTTTTAGTGAAGACGGAAACAAAGCTTTCCACACAGAAACAGGGCTTTCCTTTGAAGGACTCCCGTCTTTCACTTGCCCCTTCCTCCCCCACTCCACTGTGCAGGAAAGAAGTGGAAGCAGGGACAATGGGAAGGTTCCATTGTTATTCTTTTATTCAGAACAAAAAACAAAAATGGTTATTGGAGAAGCCAGGGTCAGTGAAACTGCTGGCCAAGTAATTTATATCCCTCATTTAAAATGATGAGAAATTATACAGCCCTAAGTTTGCAGGACTTTGCTTTGGGCTGGGATGAGAAAATGATTTCATTCTGCTGAGAACATCAACAGTTTTCTTAAAGTTCTTTCAGCCAAAACTATGTGTTCAGCCATGGACTGGCTTTTCTGGAGTTGCTTATGATTAAGGAAAAACTGTGGGGCCTTCCAGGGTAATATGGACCACTTCTTGAAACATAAAATTAGGAATTCTAAGTCTTAATTTTTACTTTTATTTAGGTTGTCTGAGACTTTGCTTCTAGTTAAGCATAGCTTCCTTCCACCTCTTTTTTTTTTTTTTCTATTTTTTAATCTGTTCTTTCAGTGACCAACAGGGACCATGAAGGAAGAATGTTGGCCATAGAAGATGAGGCACATTTATTCCAGTCAGTTCTCACATGCTAATGATAGATAATTGGTTTTTCTCTTCTCCTGAGAGGAGTTCAGTGCTTTCAAAAACCATTACCACAGGTCAGAACTCAATAGTGAGATGAACCTGTACCTAAAGAAGGAGAAAGAAAAGGAGAGATGGGCAGGAGAATGTGAGCACAGGAGTTCCTTTATTGTGTTATGCAGCCTGGTGTTTGTCTTCCCCCTGACACTGCAACTCACCTATGTTCCACTGGACAGGTGACAGGTGGCACAGTGGTACCGGGCAGGAGTTTCTGGGGCGTGAAAGGCATTCTCAGAATTCCCAGAACCTATATTCAGGTCTTTATGTTCCCGAGAAAAGCATGGAGCCTGGGTGATCTATATGTATCTGGAGATACACTTGAGGGGTTAAACTCCTCATAGGATGGCTATAGTAAAGAATAGTGAAGAAGGTCTAATACCTTTGAACATCTGAGTTTATCCTATAATTTAATAAGGAAGCAGCTCTTCTGGTGAACATTGCCAGTTTAGTCCTGTTTTCTACATGGCCAATGTGAAAGATACTGTGTATACATGCAATCATTTGTATCATATTCATAGATGAGGAGGACAAGTCCACTTCCAAGTGGTTTGCATTTATTATTGACATTTTCACGTTTGTGAGTGGCAGACCTCAGAAACTAGCACAGATGGTCTGGTCACCAGGCTACTCACCAGCATAAGCACTTGCCTGGCAAGTCTAAGGTCATGAATTCGATTCCCAGTATCAAAAAAAAAAAAAAAAAAAAAAAAAAAAAACCAGACCAAGTCCCAGGGGAAGGTTAGAGCTTGCTCTTCTCAGTATCTCCCCTCCCCTTGGCCCCACCTACTCAGAATACCTAGAGTGCTATTGATGCTCTAAGCCCCGACCCAGACCACCCTCCCTTGCCCTGGGCAGGTTTCTCCACACATGTCAGTTTCCACCACAGATTTGCTTACTTAACCCATAATAATTACTATTAAAAGATAAACAGGCACATTAAAAATGTAAGGAGTTTATTTGAGCAGACAATGATTTATGAATCAGATGGGTATAGACCACAAGCAGTTCCACTAAGTAGGGTAAAGAAGCAAGACAAAGACAAAGAAAATATTCGATAGGTTAAACTCTCTAGTCAGAGATTAGTAGGCAATTTCTGAATGTTTAAATTGTTTAGAGGAATTAGGTTTTGGTTTTCTTTGGAACCCAGGACATTGGAGCCAGTTCAACCTAATAGTGTCCCAGTTAATTTTGTAACATTACTAACGATTGGCAGGCAGCCTAGTGTGTTGCCTCTTCCAGGGAAATCAGTACTGGTAAGATTAAAAGAACTCAAGCCATTGAGTGTGTGTTGTGGGAGTTTGGGCACTAACAATAGCCTGGCCAAGAGACTCTGCTAGGACAGATGGCTTCTGGAGGTCTTGGCCTCACTGCGCACAGGTCACCTCTTGAGTGGGACAGGGCTCCAAGGCATGGGAGGGAATTACTAATGCACGATCTCTTTGGTTCCAGCACGGAAGAATCCTACATTACAGCGACCCTTTCATCGTCTTCCTGTTTCTGCTGACTTTTGCCACTGCCACGATCATGCAGTGCTTCCTGCTTAGCACCTTCTTCTCCAAGGCCAGCCTGGCAGCAGCCTGCAGTGGTGTCATCTACTTCACCCTCTACCTGCCACACATTCTGTGCTTTGCCTGGCAGGACCAGATGACAGCCGAGCTGAAGAAAGCTGTGGTGAGGGGCTTTGGGTTACCCCAGCCTATGATATGTCTCCTCTGAAGGGTTCATAGCAGCCCAGTCTGCTCTCTGAAGAAGTCCATGTTGCCTTTTGGCTCAAAAAAAGCATAAGGTTAAAGGGCTCAGGTGAGGCTCAAAGGTACAGGGTCAAAAGTGAGAGCAATCTTCACCCTGAACGAACTCACAACTACTCATCTCTAAACCTGTTTAAGTAATCTGCTCTGGGAGTCACTAAACAAACCAGCTGAGCTGGTGGTCCCCATTGTTTTTCCATGAGAAAAGAGCTGACCAGGCCTCCCCTTTCACTCAGCTTTCCTTCCTCACTGTTTGAGAAGAATCAGAAAGGCAAGAGCCTGCCCCTTTACTGTCTGTCCAGAAAGATGTTTCCATTAATTAAAATTTTTTTCCATTCTAAATAACTGGGATCAGAGAAATTCTACAATTGTCTTTAACCACTTATCCGCTTACCCTGAGTGTCACTCAGGCAGCGAGTTTGTTTAAATACTGATTATCAGGGCCGGAGATTTAGCTCAGTGGCACAGCACCTGTCTAGCAAGCATGAGGTCCTGAGTTTGATTCCTGGTACCAAAAAAAAAGTTCTAGTTACATAAATACTGACTATCCTGAGCATTGCTCAGGCTGGTGTCATTTCAACCAGTTGATTCTTGTTTTGAATAAATTTGATAAAATCATTCTTATATTCCCTGTTATATTATCTTATACAAATTAATGAAAAAGCAATTTTTGGGGGCTGGGGGTTTAGCTCAGCGGCAAAAGCGCCTGCCTGGCAAGCGCGAGGTCGTGAGTTCGGTTCCCGGTACCAGAGAAAAACCAAAAAAAAAAAAAAAAAAGCAATTTTTGGTCATCCTGTATTTAAAGAATTAGACTGCTCTACTAGTAGACAGAACAAGTGTAGAATGAGCCCACAGAACTAGGCTGTCGGGCCAGAAGTCTCCAGAAATTGATGTCGGCTTACCTGAGAGACCTCTTGGCTCAAGATTCCCAAGCTAATATTTTTTCCCACTAAAGTTGTTTTCAAATGGGCATTTCCACCCCTCTCATTAGCCCATCCTAGCCAATCTCAGCCCCAAAGGGTACAGTGTTCCTTGTTCTCCAAAATCTCCCCATGACTGTGCTGTCAAGTTAAAAAAAAAAAAAAAAAAAGACGGCCTCTCTGTTGGCAGAACCTGTTCTCACAACTCAAAACGTATTTGGCTCCAGAGCGGTCAGGGCATCTACCTTTTACTTCTCATGTTAAATAAGAACTTAATTGCTGCTATTTATAACATCCAATTTTCTAAGATGATCACAGTGAGTCATAGTAGAAATCCTTATGACTCAGCCTGCGGGCAGAGCTGGGCTATTTTGGTAATCGCTGGTAGTCCGACAGGTGCTAAGCCAACTTCTTGGGAATGTGGATCCACCAGGAAGCTGTAGGTCTGGCAACTGCATGGGCAAGAGCTGGGCTGAGATTTGTAAAAATGCTTTTTTTGTGATCATATGGCTAGAGAACCCCTTCTTATTTTTTTACAGAACTACACTCTGAATTCTATCTAGGGCTCTCCCAACCACGAAAACCTCTGAGCAGAAGAAATAGGAATAGCAAACCCCTCTGCATGTGCTGTGTGCTCTCTGCCATGTCAGAGGCCACCCACGGGGGCTTGGCTGGGAAACTTCCTCTTCACACTTCCCTCTGCACTCCCCCCGGCCAGGTATCTGGTTCTCTGCACAGAGAACTTAAGAAAATGCTTGTCCCCCGTCTGGAAAGGTGGGCCGTGTGAGCTGAGGTCTCTCTGATCTCTCTGACAGACCTTAGGAGGTCACAGCACCATCCCCTGCCTAGCCCTCACCTGTCCTAGGCAATTGATTTGTGGACCTTTGGCAGGGGGTGGTTCTCACAGAGCAGATCCAGTTAGAATCTTCCTGCTGCCCAGCACCGCTTGATCTTCCAAAAGAGGAGGAAGAAGGGGAAGAGGTAGGACCCTTGGTCCTTCAGTGTTTTATGCAATGTGGCATTTCTTTGTTTTCTTCATTACACTACAGCTCAACTGCGGTGAGCAGGGGCTTCTAAGGCCTGAGCGGCATTCCCAGAATTCTCTTCCAATGGAAAGAATGCCTTAGGGGCTGGGGATTTAGCTCAGCGGCACAGCTCCTGCCTGGCAAGCGCAACGTTGTGAGTTCGATTCCCGGTACCGGAAAAACAAAAAACAAAACAAACAAACAAACAAAAAAAAAACGAAAGAATGCCTTAACTGCTCCTAGTAGCCTTACCATAGGACACCGACTAGGCCTTTTGTAGTCCTCCTCCCTGCCCTGTGGACATCCAATTGCTGTTGTTTCGGGTAAAAGAACCGCCCCCCGCCCCCCACAGAGCCTGCTGTCTCCTGTGGCGTTTGGGTTTGGCACTGAATACCTGGTCCGCTTTGAAGAACAAGGCCTGGGGCTGCAGTGGAGCAACATCGGGAGCAGCCCCATGGAAGGGGATGACTTCAGCTTCCTGCTGTCCATGCAGATGATGCTCCTTGATGCAGCTCTGTACGGCTTGTTTGCTTGGTACCTGGACCAGGTGTTTCCAGGTAAGCATCTCCCTCCCCAAAGTAAAGGTTACTGGCTTCTTCAGGTCCCCAGACCTACCCCATTCATCTAATTAAATTTCATCCTTTCTAATCTCTTTGAATTCGGGCTTTCAGAATAAATGTTGAAATTTAAACCTAGAGGTCAACAATCCACCAGCAAATCCTCTTGGTTGTGCCGTAGAAATTGATCTAGAATCTGATCCTGTGTCCCCACCCCTCCCACCTCCTACCGTACTTCCTTCTGGTCTGCTGCTTACATTGTGTTCAGATAGAACTTTGCAGAATCCACCTCAGATCGTATCACTCTCTCTGTCCGGAGAGGCTTTCCCTCCAGGGGTTTCTCCTCTTATTGAGAGTAAAACCCAGTGTCCCAATCCTGCTGTAGCAGATGTTTCATTACCTGGTCTCCGGTGATTTTCCTCATCCGTCCTTCCCTTCTCCCTAGTCCTTTCTGCTCCAGCCCTATCAGCCTCCCTAGTGAAAGTTCAACATGGTGCACACACTTCTCACTGCCAGGAGCGTGTTTCTCCCCATAGCACCCCTACAATCTGCAGGCTTGCTTATTTGCTTTGTTTAGGTCTCTGTTCAAATGTTGTTTTATCATAGAGATCTTTTGTTTTCACTTGTTTTGTTTTGTTTTGTTTTGTTTTGTTTTGTTTTGTTTTGAGACAGAGTCTCACTATGTAGGTCAGGCTGGCCTTGAAACACACTGTGTAGTCCAGGCTGGCCTCAAACTCATGGCAATCCTCCTGCCTCAGCCTCCTGAGTGCTGCAATTGCAGGCATATGCCACCACACCCAGCTACCACAAGGATCTTTCCAGGCTGAAGATATCTAGACATCTATCACTATATAAACAAAATCTCTGCAGTGCCCCCATCCCCTTTCCCTACTTTTTTTGATAAGCATCATCACCTGACATGTGCTACCTTTATATGTGTGTATTTACTGACTCTCTACCATTGTTACAACAAGCCCACAAAGCAGGCACATAGTCCAGTAGATAGTCCTGCTGCCCAAAATAGTGCCTGATATTTGGTGGACCCTGAATAATACCTACTCTGCAGTGTGGAAAATTAGCTCCTGAATCAAAGGTAGCTGTTCATACAGTTCTCTACTTACTTTGTAGAAAATCAGATTTTCCTTCAAATTGGCATTTTCTAGGGCTAGAGACACAGCATCTTTACTTGAGTGTCTCCATGGCAACCAGGAACCTCCTTTTGCTATGGCAAGTGGACCTGGCTCTTGATGCTGTGGCCAAAAGCAAGCAGAGAAGAGTGAGGCTGGGCCTGGTCCTTAGAGGGACAAACTGCCCTCTCTCAGGAGTAAGTAGGCTGCGGCTTTGAAGAGGAAGAAGTAGCCAGGCTCTGTGCCCAGGCTTGGGTTCAGATCCTAGCAGCACGAGTGCATTGCTTTCCAAGAACTGCTCTTTAAAGTACCACACACGGGGTGGCTTACATAGTAGAAATTTATATCTCACGGTCGTGAAGGCCAGGAATCCAAAATCAAGGTATTGGCATAGCCAGGCTCCCTCTAAAACCTGCTGGGCCAGGATTCTTCCTTGCCTTGTTCTAGCTTCTGGAGATCTTTCAGTAATCTAGGTCTCTGTTTGGCTCGTAGATGCATCGCTCTGATCCTGCATCTTCCAACAGCGTTTTCACTGTGTCTGTCTTTCCTGGCCGTATTCCTATGAGAACAGCAGTCATATTGGAACACAGGCACACCCTACTCTGCATTACCTCATTTAGGTTGAACATATCTGCAATGACTATTTCCAAACAAGGCCACACTCTGAGATACCTGTCTTTTTCTCCTGACACTGCCCTGACACCAACTGTATATGTATTTCCAACACCAACCAACTCTCTGACACCATCCAGAATTTGTGCAGTTGCCACAAATTCGATGCCATAAGATTCGCTCAGTTCAGAAGCCGGCTGCAAATGTGCTGCCAGGATTCTGCCTCCAATTGCAGCTGACTGGGAGCGATGCGAGGGGTCACGCAGAGCTTACCGTCCCTTGGCCCAACACCAAAGTATGTCCACCAACACAGAAGCTCCCCAACTCCTGTTCGAGGAAAACCCAATCTCTAGTCCCCTTTCTTCCTCCAGAGTTTGATGGTTGAAGTTAAAATTTCTTTTTTTCCACGTTTGGTGCTTCTGCTGACCAGCTCCCTTCATGACGCTATCTTGAGGCCCCACCTGGAATCACTCATTAGCAAGAATTTAGATATGGTGGAGAATGGGGCCCATTATGAGTAACAGAAGGATAGAAAACTGGAATCCCAGCACAGAGATTAGGGACTAAAAGACCAAGTATATTTTGTATAAAACCACTGACCCCAAAATGTTTTTTTGGAAAGGGACATAATTCAACACACGACAGTGACCCAAGCAAGACACTTGAAATTCATCAGCCTGTTTTTTGCATCTCCCTGTGCCACTGGAAAGAGATTTAGTAAAAATTAGTTGAAATACAATTAGAATTGCACACAATTCAAGGACTTTGTTTAGCCAAACTAAAGTTTTCATTTCTTTTGGTCAACAACTACTTACTGAGCTGTACCTATGTGTGAGGCCCAGCAGGGCCAGGTCCTGGGAATCAAGGGGTGAAAAAGATAGAGCCAGGTCTGCCCTATGGAACTTTCAGTCCAGTGGTGGCAAAAGTCAACATATGACAAATATTTAAAAATGAAAACAGTGTTTTACGTGTGTGTGTGTGTGTGTGTGTGTGTGTGTGTGTTGGGGATCAAACCCACAGCCTTGAACGTGCTACACTCCCAAAGTGAAAACCGTGTTTCTACAAAACCAACATTTTGTAGGGAGGAATAGGTGGCAAAGAAAATTGAACTCAAAATTTGGAGTTCTTTTTCTTAAAACCCAGCTGGATCCATAAGAATGAGGGTTTAAGGGAAATGATAGTAGAACCAGGTTGCCTGTGTTAGAATTCCTACATTTCTATTTAAGTCCCTGTGACCTGGAGGTAGAGGGCTTTATCTCAGCGTGCCTCAGGTTCCACATCCTCAACATTAATATTGCTACCATCTCCCAAGATTGTCTTGAGGATTAAATTATTTAACTCATTGAGAGTGCTTACAGCAAGGCCTGACAAAAGCACCCAAAATGCTAGTTATTATCACCGTTGCTATCTGGTGACTTCTGGAAAAGGACATGGTTTAATTCCTTGGAAAATTAGCATTAACCAAGATCATCAGTCTTAGCATTGCTGGAAACAACACCCCTCCCAAAAACTGACCTTTTGAATTAAAGCATGTTAAAAGATAGTCTTTCTGACAGCCATTCTGTGGGTAAGTAATAGCTTGTGAACTACAAATATATGTAGTGTAATTTGGATTCAGATAAATTCTAGATCTTATAGAACTGTGGTGCAGTGGGGTAGGGAGATTATTTTGGCTCTTTTCTCTTTATTTGCCTTTCTTTTTTTCAGGGGACTATGGAACCCCACTTCCCTGGTACTTCCTTCTGCAAGAGTCTTACTGGCTTGGCGGAGAAGGTGAGTTATTTAAAATTTTAAAACCTTGAGGTTTGAAACTAGCTCCCTGGGCTCTGTGTGGGCTGTCAAGGTGGCACTTTATGTCAAGGGCATCTTTTTGGATAAGCCAGCTGCTCCAACCGCACCACCAAATGCCACGCAGCATCAGAGCCTCTGGCACCCCAGCCTTCAATCACTGGGCCAGGGTGAATGGCCAAGAATCAACAAATAGCTTGTCCCCGTGGAGTAGACGCCCTGTTAAAAGAAGGCCATAGCATTTGAGGTTCAAACAACTTTTCTAATTTTTCAGTTTAAAGCAGAAACCAGAGACTCATGAAGGAAGATTTGTATTCCTCCCCTGCAACCTCTCTCTCCTGCCTTTGATTCCTCTCTGCTTTTTCAACTATAAATTAACTTCTCCCAAGATGAAGACTTTCTTATCTTCTAATCTTCTTTCTTTCCTTTTATTCTTCTGTCTTGCAGCTACATCACTCTAATCCTGCATCTTCTGATGGCATTTCTCTGTGTCTGTCTTTACCTGGCCATCTTCCTCTAAGAACGCCAGTTGCACAGGAATTTGGCACACCCTACTCCACTGTGACCAGAAAGGAGATTAAAAGGGCATTTGCCCATGATGTCCCTTAGATAGAATTTACCTTTCCTCCTAAGCAAAACAGGAGGCCTAGGGGCTGGGGATATAGCTTAGTGGCACAAGTGCCTGCCTGGCAAGTACAAGGTCCTGAGTTTGATTCCTGGTACCGGAAAAAAAAAAAAAAAAAAGAAGGCCTAGGGAGAGTAAAAGTGGGAAAAGTACAGACTCTTTTTTTCAAGCTGGCCTTGAGCTCACTTTGTAGCCCAGGCTGGTCTTGAACTTGCAACGATCCTCCTGCCTCAGCCTCCCGAGTGCTGAGATTACAGGCATGTGCCACCACACCTGGCAAAGCACAGACTCTTGTGAGTTCTTGGAAAGCAGAAAAATTCTAGAGCTGTCACTACAGTCTCTCCTACACCTGGGAAGGTCTGGAAGCAAAGGAAATATTTTCCAATCTAGACTGCATATCTACCTACACTTTACTTTGAGTTATTGGACTTAGGCCAAGATTTCTCCCGTAAGCACTGAGATAGATCCATGTTTTCTCCAGGGGCTTAGTCTAGGGACTTTAAAAGGTTTGGGTAGGTTTTCTGTTTTGTTTTGTCTTGTCTTTTTGTCACTTCTTTCTTTCTTCCCCCTCCTCCTCCTTCTCTTCCTTTTCCTCCTAATGGTGGAAACCACACCGCTTCTAATAGCCCACTATTTTTTCTTGGTTTTGTACATCTTGTCTGTCTATTAAGGTTTACATTTCCACTATAATGAAGCAATAATCCCGTCATAAGTGGGAATTTTCAACTCAGAAATGTGTTGCTGGAATACTTTTAATGTCAGAATTTGTGGGCTTTTTTCCCTTCTCTACAATCCCAAGAGATACTCCGCTTTTAAACGCCTTAGAACAAATGTGCTCCTTCAAGAGTAAATCATAGCTGGGCATGGTGGCACTTGGGAGGCTGAGGCAGGAGGATCACCATAAGTTCAAGGCCAGCCTGAGCTATATAGTGAGTTCAAGTCCATCTTGAACTACATAGCAGGACCCTGCCTCAAAAAATAAATGAATAAATAAATAAATAATATATTTTGCTGGCAGAAGCCAAATATTTTTAACCTGTCTCATAGGCTAGACTGAATAAGATCCCTAATACTGTCTAAATCAGAAGACAGCTGAGTTTTTCCATCTAATCCCTTCTTTTCACAGATGAAGAAATGGAGGCTAAGACATATCAGTATGTTTCACAAACTCCTACGGTTTACTGGGGGCAAAATCTGGAGCTTGAATACATTCCCTGACAAGGAATTTGCTCGGTGACTGTTTAGAAGGCTACTTCCCCTTGCTATTTTATTAGACCTGCATGCAGTATGGTATTAGTAGAGTGGCCACAGGAGTTGTGGGGAATGGATTGAAAAATTCCACAGGAAACAGAGATGGAAGGACTGGGGGTAGCATGACCCTAACCACCAGGCAGCGGCCTGCACCGTACTAGATCCAGGAAATCCACAGAGGGTGGTGCCACAGAGGCCCTGGTCTGCTGCTACATTTAGAAAACACACTGCTCGCGCATGTGCACTGGGGTCCGCAGCCTGAGGAGCTTGGTGGTGATGGCTTCCTCCTGCCTCTGCTTCCTCTCTGGCTGGCTGGCTGGCTTTTCTGCCTATCTTCCCCTTCCAGGATATCTTGATGTCCTTTTAGACCAAATGCCAAATGTACCAAAAAAAAAAAAGTTCAGGAGTTCCGTGCAGACATCTCCGACACTTCACAATTGCCCAGGCCTATGCCTCCACCACGCTCTACCCTGCTCTGGATCTCAAGACACCTGAACATCCAGATACGGGGGTTCCCATGGGACCCATTTCTAAAGCTCTGACGAGCTGCCTGCCCATCATATCACCTCGGATGGACTTTCACTCAAGGTTCACCGTGATTTGGATATGTTTCAGGTTAGGTCAGAATGCAAAAAACTGGTGGTGAGCGAAAGAAAATGAACCCATTCCAAATCCAATCTTGTGCTTGTTTTTTAATCACGATTTCTGACACTGTGGGCCTGTTCTGGCACATTAAGGGGATCACGCTAGCGCTAAGGGTGTTGCTCAGTGATATGGTGCTTGTTTAGCATGTGGGAGGCACCGGGTTTCACCCTAGCACCACAAATAAACAAAAAACAAAATAATTCCACAGGATGGGGCAAAATTCCCTGCTTCCAAAATGCCGGTTACAAATCTGGGCTTGGGGAACATTGCACAATCAGCAGTGCCGCCCGGCAGCAGGTCAGAGGCTGGAGGACATGGTGGTGGTGGGGGGGCTCGTCTCATGGGAATGCTGGCGTGGCCTTCTGAACAAGCTGTCGTCCCCTGGTGGTGGGAAACTCATTTGCTTCCCCCACTTCTCTCCTCCTTTCTGGCCTTGACTAATTCCCTCAGCTCTCACTGAGAGAGTAACATGGGCTTCTGGTTGGTGCAGGGTGTTCAACTAGAGAAGAAAGAGCATTGGAAAGGACTGAACCCATAACAGAGGAAATGGAGGATCCAGACCACCCAGGAGGAATAAATGGTAACCCCCCGCCCCCCAAAAAGAACAGAACAGAAGCAAGGAAAACACTCTGAACCCTACAAAGGGCCAAAACAAAACACCGCATTACGGGTGAAATGAAGCCCAGGAAACTGACTCCCTCCGTTGACTAGTGTTAAAGTTAGGGCCCAGCTGCACGTGTGGGGGATGAGTGGTCTGGCCCAGACATTAACGCATACTTCCTAGAGAAAGCAAAGCCCAAGTATGTAGTGTGTTTGTGCCCTTGTTAGGCAAATCCCAAGTGAGTTGCACGAATGTGCTGACTTCCGAGGATTTAGCAAGAACAATGACTTGGGTCACTGGGACTTAAAGCGGATATGAGTTATAAGGAAAGACAAAAATAAATGCTTCTGTGTGCAAGGGGAAGGAGAGTTGAGAGGAGCTGCCTGCACTTCACTCGTGGTCACAAATGTAGAAGTCCATTCATTCAAACCATCAAAGCCTTTCCTGACAGTGGAAGTTACCTAATCGTTCTTGGACTAATGGACCAGATTCACCAGCCTGCTGTCTCTAGCTTTTGCTGCTCTTTGTTGAACAAGTGCTGTATTTCGTCCACAGGTTTTCATTGCCAAGTATATGCATTTCCCTGTGGATGGGTTTAGAGCGGCCCAGGGTCTCTGGCTTTGCCTGATGTTCCATGAGAGGGTCCAGCCTCCACACACTCGCCAGACCCAATTTCACAAAGCTGAAGCCAGAGACCTGCAGCTCCTCACAGAGGTGGATCGCAGGCAACAATGCTTCTGGAAGACCTCCTTCCAGAATGGTAGTGCAAGGCTGAAATCGGGGGTCTGGGGAAGCTAGTTCCATCTCACCCATAGGCAAGGCCAGGAGGCACTCACAGAAGCAATAGAATTTAAAATTTTTTATTTTGTTTTCAAGGAAGCAGATGTTTAGAACTATAGTACTGACAGAAACTGCGCTATATGAGAGGAACTGAAGAAGGGAGATGCTGGGCGTCAGGGCGAAGCAGAGAGTGCACCGAGGGTCTGCACTGGGGAGAACAGAAAGGGGAGTTGGAGTCTGAGGAATGGTGGTGAGGAAGAGCAGACTGTCCCGGAGTTCTGAGGAGCAAGAAGTCAGCCGTAATCAAAATGACTCAAAGACAGCAGCCTGGATTGCCTAAGAGAATGGGGCTCTAGGAATGGGCTTGGAGAGCCCGGAGAGAAATGTTGTGTTAGGGAGAATGTGAGGAGCCCGAGTTGCCACCAGAGATCCATGCGGAGTTCTGTAGACTATTGGAAAAGGGACTTGGGATCAAAGATGGTGCTTAGGGCCGACTCTGTGTGTCGATAGTGAAAGCTCTGTGATGAGCATGGGCTCTGAGTTCCAGTCCCAGCACTGCTACTTATGAGCCATGGGAGCTTGGTAGGACACGATGTCTGCCTATCTTAAGTGTCCTCACCTATAGAAATGAGCCTAGTAAGTACCAGCCCATAGGGCTGTTGTGTGAAATGAGGTAATTCTTGGAAAGCACTTGAAACTGAACTGGGTACATAGTAATTGCTAAATAAACACTCACTACCATTATAACCACTGTTATTCCGGTCTTTCTAACAAAGGTCAAAGCTGAAGCCATAGGAGCAGGTGAAATTACAGGCAAATGACAGTGGTCAGAAAAGCACTACATTAATGCATTATATTTATATCATGTTTGGTTTTTATCCTCTAAGACTCCTTCTTTGAACGTGAGCTTCCAGGGTTGGTTCCTGGGGTATGTGTGAAGAATCTGGTAAAGATTTTTGAGAGCTCTGGCCGGCCAGCTGTGGACTGTCTTAACATTACCTTCTACGAGAACCAGATCACCGCATTCCTTGGTCACAATGGAGCAGGGAAAACCACCACCTTGTGAGTCTTCTGGCAAAAGAGGCTGTGGAGGGCCACGCCACCCTGTCATTCCCCGACTTCTCTCCTCTTCTGTTACCTGCAGTCTCCTCCTTCCCACTGAATTTTAGTGGCAAAACACGCTCTACATTTGGGGACCCAAAATTTTGTAAAGCACACTGCACTATTCAGAGCTCACTCGCAATCATTGTTTTATTTAATCTTTGCAAAAGCAACACAGAGGAGATAGTGTAAGTTTAGTTCTTCCTTTGTGTGCTGAGCAGCTGGACATTCCAAGAGTTTGAAGGACATTTCTGAAGCTTCCAAGTTTAGTGGCTCAGTGGGCACACGAGCTAGGTCCTCTCGCCACTATTGCGTGTGGATCCTTTTCCTCATCCCAAGCCTCTCCAGCATTACTGTCAACCATGGTGGTGACAGAGCCAAGGTCATTGCCACCCCACCCGTGCCCCAAGGTCTGTAGAGTGCTGCTTGTTTTTCTGGGTTTTTTGTTTTTTGTTTTTTCATTTTTTTGGACTTTTTGAGACAGGGTCTCACTAAGCAGTTCAGGCTGGTCTTGAACTCACTTTGTAGCCCAGGCTGGCCTCGAACTCACAACAACCCTCCTGCCTCAGTGCTGAGATTACAGGTGTGTGCCACCACGCCCGGCTATCAAGTGCTGCTTGTTTTTAAGGAGCATTCCTTTTCCCACCACTTATCAGCCAGGCTTTACTCCTGGCACAAGGTTTCTGATAAGAGTTGGTCTTAGTTCTGGAGTATGTACTAAGGATGCAGTCTCTACCTAGGTCTCTGGGTGAGGCAACAGCTTGGCCACCAAAGGTTAAGTTCAGGCAGGATGCAAGGCTCTGGGTGAACTCCTCAACTCAGGGGCTCCCCACTCTTCTCTATGGGGCCTAAGCAAGGCTGAGGGAAAGGTAGCCACCAAGTTTTCCCATGCTGGCCTCTCAGGGGACAGCAACCTCTGTGCTAGTCTTCAAGTCCTTGGCTTCTTGCAGAGCCCCAGGAAGGAAAAGCAGTCTACACCCTGCAGTGGAATGTGTTCTTGGGCGGTTCAGTGTGAATGGAATGTGGGGCTGGTGCCATTATACTTGGTTCTGTTTCCCTCTAGTGGTTGATCAACAGAAAATTCAGCTGCTAAGTACAAGTTCAGCCTGAGATTTTATCAGAACTCAGAGACACAGCTGGGTGTGGTGGTGCTAATTCATCGGATTCCTCTCCTTATTAACGAATACAATCAGAGACCTGGAAGCTCCTTCCAGGACCCCAAGACTTCTCAAAGGCAAACACATTACTTCATCAACTGCAGAAATGCAACTTCCCCTGGGGCCTGAAATAATGCTTAGTAATAATGGCAATAACATTTCTGAATTTTACTTTCCATTGTGCTGTTCTAAATGTAATCCACGACTTAATACATTTAATCTTCACAACCACCCCAACAGGTAGGAGTCATTTTTTTCCCATTTTACAAACCACAACAACATTGCTATTGGGCATTTCATGTTTTGAATCCAAAGGTGATATTATTGGTAATTATTCCCATGCCTCGCTTCAATCAGTTAATCAACAGACACACACTGAATACCTAGGTGTACATGGGCTTCTTGCTGTTATCCAGGCCTGACTCAGACTTCTAGTGGTGACACATAGCTTTTCAATATCCCCCGCTGCTCAACAGCAAGCAAAAAAGAAGCCATGCACTGAACACCTTCTCTAAGCCTCTCTTAGCACCAGGCACTGTGATGGTGGGGTGGGGTGGGGCTGCAAGTGGACATTATGAGGCTGGGATCCCAGAGGCCCATTGCTGCCTGCCTGGGAGCACTGGGAAACAAGTAGAAGAAACGACCACACCTGCCTCCTTTCTCTACATTAGGGCCTGAGCGCACATACTGGTGCTATGCCCTGTATGGGACACCTGGACCCTACAGCTAGTACTGGTGGTCTGGGGTTTAATTCAGAGCCAGAGGCAGGAGTCACTGTGACAGTCCTCACCCACACCCATGTGTGACGGCTGTCCCAATACAAGTTACTAAAAGCCACCTTTCCTGCCCCTACACTGTCTCTGGCAGGTCCATCCTGACAGGTCTGTTGCCACCGACATCAGGGACCGTACTCATTGGAGGAAAGGACATTGAAACCAGCCTGGATGCAATCCGGCAGAGCCTTGGCATGTGTCCACAGCACAACATCCTGTTCCACCAGTAAGTAAAACAGAAGCTGAGATGTCCCCAGCCCCCTCCCTGCCCCCATCCCCCAACACACATGTTCTCTAGAGCTCAGCTCAGGGATCCTGGTCTGAATACAGGTGGTGACGCTCTTCCCAAGTCCTTGCGATGAGAATTGTCCCTCCAAGCATGGAACTGTGCTTTGGTACTCAGAGTGACACCATCTTTCTCTAACAGAGTGGCAGATCCTTGGTCCCCCTGGTCAACTCTGAAATGTTTCCTGTCAAGGGCCAAAGAGAGGAGAACTGTTTTCCATTTTAAGTCACAGCTTTATGGAATGACTTTGCTGGGAGCTTTTCAGTTTCTTTTATTTTCCAGTTAACACATCTTATATTTCTTATCTAAAACTCTCTATATAAGTCATTGTGAAAGGACGGGAAGGAGCAAGGGAGGAAGAAATAAAGATAGCTAAATAAAAAGAAAAAAATAAAAATCACCAGTAATTTTACCACACAGAGACAACTATATTGTTAACACCTTGCTATATAATTTTTAAGGATTTTCTCCTATGTATGTGTGTATGTACATATATACTTTAAAATTATAAAGGAGAATAAAACTATGCATAGAATTTTATAATCTGACTTTTTAAAATGTGATTGCTTTTTTAAAATCAAAGATATTATGAATATCTTTTCATGTCATTATATATCCCTTTATAAAAGAATTTTAATGTTCACATACTATTCCATCAGATGAATGAACCAGGCAAGCCATCCTCTTATTAAATACTTAGTGTTGCTTGTTTGTGTTGCTTTTGTATCGTAAACAATACCTCAGTGAACGTTTTGGTCGCTAAGCCTTCGTACGCATCTTTAGTTCCATAACATAAGTTAGCTGTGAGAGGTAGAATTACTGAGCCCCTTGCTTCTCCTGTTCTCCTGTCCCTGCAGCCTTACGGTGGCTGAACACATCCTGTTTTACGCCCAGCTGAAAGGGAAGTCCTGGGAGGAGGCCCAGCTGGAGATGGAGGCCATGCTAGAGGACACGGGCCTCCACCACAAGAGGAACGAAGAAGCTCAGGAGCTCTCTGGTACCTTAGTGGAAGGAGTCAGAGCCGCGGATGGCAGGCCGTTGCTTCCCAGGGAGCCTGGGAGGTGGAGGTGCTTGTAACTAACAGCACCTAAGAGTTGGAAGCTTCTGTGAAGTTATTCTGAGAACCCAAGAGCAGCCGCCTCTGGCTCACTTCCCACATGGAGCACTGTCTTGCAGCAGCCTGGGCTTTATTTGTTTTGTTGTTTATGTATTTAAACTAAAACAGAAGAATGGGCTTCAGATGGTGAGGTCCTAGGAGGCAAGGGTCTCCTTTCCCACCCTTATGAGGCCTAAATAGTACTGGGGTTTTGAATCTAAGGGAACAGCATCAAACCACTGCTGGATTCCAGGGGCCCCTCGTGCCGCCAGCCTGCGCCTTTGTCTTTCTCACCCGTAGCCCTTGTGACCCCTGTCCTCCTTGTGACTCTAGGTGGCATGCAGAGAAAGCTGTCCGTCGCCATTGCCTTTGTGGGAGATGCCAAGGTCGTTGTTCTGGATGAGCCCACCTCTGGGGTGGACCCGTACTCCAGACGTTCCATCTGGGACCTGCTCCTGAAGTACCGTGCAGGTGATGGCTACTGCCCAGTGCTCTGTGCTCTTGCAAGGCTTTCCCTGTGGGCGCCATGCTCTTACCCCTGGCGTTTTGCAACCAAGTACTCCAGGGGCCATAACTACAGTCACATGGGGCTTTTCCAGCGAATCTAAGTTTAAGTTAAAGCTTCCTGAGATTTTTACAGAACAATAAGCAGGGTGTCACTGATGAGGGAGAGCCGATTTCATAGAAGGACTCAACCTGGAGTCCCTCTATCTGGAGCAATGGGTGCAGCTCTACGTGAAAGTTCCCCCGCCTGAGGGGACTCGGGTCACCAAAAAGATCTCCAGAGCTCCCTTGCCGTTGGACGGCCACTTAGGCCCAGGTGTGAGGGCACTGTGTTGAGTGTTCAGGGCTGCAGAGGACAAACAGCTGCGGATACAGATGTCTCAAGATGAGACCTTTTCTCCTCTAGCCCCGCTCCTTCCAGGGGGCTCAGGTCCAGAAGAGACAGCAGGCAGAATGCAGTGAGCCCGTAACAGTGACAGGGTGACTCAAGTGCTGGCCAGAGAGTTCCCCTCTCCCTGTGTGCACTGTGTCTCCCCGTGCTTTTCCCTGGAGATTCGCCATCCTAAAATCCTCGTGACTGCTTTCTTTTAGTGACACTTCCAATTAGTAAGAGTGTGTCCGTGTGTGTTCTTACAAAGACTGTACACGCAGCACTTCGTGATCCACAGAGAGTGTAAAGGTGGAACTCAATAGATACTGCCTGAGAATAATGAATGTGCTCCATGCATGGCGATTTATTTGAATGAGTCAACCTTATATCCCACGAAAAGACACCTTCTATGACTGTGCTTTACAGCGTGGAGGACACTATGAATGTTAGTTGTTGTCATTATTATTCTAGTGTTTTGAAACTTGCTGCAGAATTAGTCTGTTTGTTTTCATTTATTATCTCCTGGTTTTGGGACCATATAACCAAGAGATTGCTGTAACCCACTGCCAGCCATACCCTATCCACTGCATGCCTGTGATTCCCCTGACTTCCCTACCCCGCAGGGAGAACTATCATCATGTCTACCCACCACATGGATGAGGCAGACCTCCTTGGGGACCGCATTGCCATCATCTCCAAGGGAAGGCTTTACTGCTCGGGCACCCCACTCTTCCTGAAGAACTGCTTTGGCACAGGCTTCTACTTGACCTTGGTGCGCAAGATGAAAAACATCCAAAGCCAAGGAGGCAGCTGTGAGGTAGGAGTCTGCCCAAAGAAGAGCTCGTCCTGGGTAAGAAGGGAGACAAGCAGCTGCTCTGGGCATTTCTGCATGCTCCAACTCTAGCAATCAGAATCAGCTTATTTCTGAGGGCATTTGCAGGCTATTTTGATAAACACATTCTGAAGCCTCCTACAAAAAAGCTTCACCCCAAATGATACAGCTAGTTTCAAACAACTTGAAACAACTGGTGAGTTATTACTCACCAGTAGTCCAAACTACACAAGTGGTTTGTCGCAGCATAGAAGCAAGTGTCTTGTAAGGTCCAATTGCTTTAAGAGTAGTTGCGTAAGCTTCCTCTTTCTCATTCCCACATTCATGTTTGCTAATTAAACCTGAATCCTAGCAGAAAATGAAAACAGAGGAAAGGCCTCCTTGGAAGTCACCTAAAAATGGTGAAGCCAAAAAATACCAACTGGCTGAGACCACTCAGCATCTCAGGAGACTCAGGTTCAGGTCTGGGCTACAAAGTGTACAAACTGTGTCGTCCTGGAAAAATAATTTAATTTCTTGCTATTGTTTTTTGAAAAACAAAACTTATGATCTGTGCCTCTGCTTCTTAGGGATGTGGTAAAGATGCAGTGTACGATAAGGTATTATGAATGTGCTCTGGGCTCCTTGAGAACAGGCATTGCTCACATTCAAAATGTCCCACATATTATACTGTAGCATTATTTATGTCTCGGTTTAAGCACTACGGGTTTTCCCATCCTGGGAAGATTTCTACAGCCCAGTGCACATCCATGCGGAGGGCGGAGCCGAATGTCTCACACAGGCAGAACCTACAGCTGTCACTTGATTAATGACAAGCCAAAGGGATCCTCTGTGGTTTTGATTCTCTCTGTGCCTGACTCACATACTCTCTAGGATAAAATCAAAGTTACACCCTCAAACTTCTCAGATGAATTAATAGATTAAGCAGTAAAGAAAAAAATGTACTGACCACATTTGGCAGTAAGAAATAAACAAAGCACATGGTGACAGCAGTTGGCCTTAGGGAGATGCTGTCACTGAAGCAATGTGTACCTTCTCAGTCACTCCTGTCCATCTATCGCAGGGGACCTGCAGCTGTGCGTCTAAGGGTTTCTCTGTCAGGTGTCCAGCCCGCGTCGATGAGATAACTGCAGAGCAAGTCTTGGACGGTAAGGGCGCAGGCAGGCCATACCTCGGTTCTGGCCCAGCGATCACTGCCTGGTATTGCCGGGTGTGTCCTGCTTGAGGCACTTGAGGGGGTGCAAAGAAAACACTGGGTGTTCCTCTCAGGCCTAAGCTTACGCAATGGCTCGTCTTTTTTTTTTAGATTCTTTCTCCTCTTCTTCTTTCCTTCATTCCCAACAAGATTTAAAAGTCATGCACCTACGGGCCCTCTCCCTTTAATGAGGAATCCAGGCTTTGTTCACTCTGTGCCCTCATCCCTATTAAGCCTCCATTCCTGGGGTTCTTCTGCTCTGGCCCGGGGAACATTCCTGTCTGCAGAGCCACTTGAGAGCTGCTCCTCTGCGCCCTCTGGTGGAACGGTGCTGCCTCATAGCTCTTGATGGTGAACTTTCCAAGCATCAGATATATGCGTGAATGGCAAATCTGTGCAATCTCACACACCCCTGTGACACTCCTCACTCTCCCCTTAGCTTCCCAATTTTCCAGTGATTTTCTCTGGAGTTAGGGTGCACTGAAACTCTCACAGGCACCCCCACCTCCGGGGAGATACAGCGAAGAGGCTATTGCTGTGGAGGATTGGAGCTCAGAAACTCAGCTTGCAAACACGCTCCATCCTCCACTAATGCTCACTTCCGTGTCACTTGTGGAGGTGTCTTGGCAGATGGAATACCACAGCTCTATAATCTAGTCTTATGTACTGACCCAGGTTAATGAAAGAAGGAAAATATTTGCTTATCATAGAAAAAAAAGTAGGACCATATCTAGCACAGATTTTTCTCTAAACCTGAAGAATTTAGGTTTAGTGAAATCTGGTAAAACAATAAAACCAGACAATATATATGCACTATGCTTAAAATATAAGGGACAATGCCCGGAGTTCCATCACCAATATTTCCACCCTACCCTCTGCGCTGACAGAATCTGAAGTGAACAGAAAACAGCTGTTTAGAATGACACCCTTCTGTGTCTTGGGCCCTGCCTACTTACTGTGGATCTTCCCAGCTTTCTGAGGATTCTTCTTTGCAAGCCTGGTTAAGAAAATGACTTAAAAAAAAAAAAAAAACTAACACCAATGTTGTTAATTACTGTGATCCACCAAAATCAAGTTGGAAAAAGAGTCAGTTTAACTGGGATGATTTTTTTAAAATATGACTTTATTTCTAAGGCAAGATTTTCTTTGTGTAGAATAGGAATGCTGTCACTGGTGAGAAATGTAGTAAGTACTTAGGCCCCAAATCAGGGAGGGAGGACCATTTTAATCCCCAGTTAACTCCATGGAGGGCTGTTCACTCACACACACCCACATACCACACACACACACACACACACACACACGCACGCACGCCTGCAGACCTCCCTGCCAGAGCCGAGGGCCCTGCTGGCCTCAAGTGCTACTTTTAAAAGGCTGACACACTTCTAAGACGCAATTCCTGGGAATCCAGTGGCTTCAGGCTCCATTTCCTTCCTACGAGAACAATGAACTTGACCCCGACAGCGGTACTGGGGCACAGTTTCCTCCTCACATAGAAACTGCCCACCCCCGGCATGAGGTCATCCCAGAACTTCAGACAGTCAAGGCCAGCTTGCAGGTTTGACATACGGCAAGCCTTCTAATCCAGCTAAGCAGAGGATCTTTGCTGAAAGCCGTGAAATCTCTCCACATGGCTCTTTTTAAAACAAAGAAAGAAAAAATTCACAGGGTGCTCCTAAGAGAGCTGCTTGTGAGAGCCATGTTCTGAGTTCACAGAAGCCCTTTCCCTTTAGCAAATCTTATTTAGAAATAAGATAATGTGCAAAGGAGCGATCTCTCTTTAAGCGCATGCTTTAAAGTTATTTAAATTAGATTTTTAAATTTTAAAGTAACGCATGCTTGTGCATAGAATTCAGTTCTGACTGTATGAGGGTACAAATATTTATATCTGATGCTTGTCCATGGTCTGTGCCACCATGCCCCTAGGAGCATGTCCTGGGAGCTGTTGCTGTGTTGTGTTTTATTTTGTTTTGTTTCGTTTGGTTTCGTTTGGTTTCGCTTCATTGTTTTGTTTAAGGAGGGAGATGCAATTGCAAGGGAAATAGCGCAGCCCTCCGAGCCCGGGCATGGGAGTGTGATTTAGGAAGGGGATTTGTCTGTCTCAGCTTGATCACCTGTTTCAGGAATGCATCTAGGGCAAGTCTCCTAGAGCTTGCTTCAGCCAGACCAGAAAAATGAAAACAACTTTCACTTAACCCTTACGTGGCCAGTGAAAGATAGTGAACCACAGTGGCTACCATTTTCCCCCTCTCACCGATGAGAAAACAAAGGTAGGACCTGCCCAGTTACCGTAGCTTGAGGCGACAGAGTATTTGACTGAACAAAGGCAGAAACTGGCCTAAGGACATGACATGGTCTCCCAGAGACTGCAGTTAGCCAGAGGACAGTGCTTTCACTTGTCCGCTGCTGCCTCTCAGTAGCCAACTAAAAACAAACCTGATGAGAGCCAGTCCCCCACAGGAGTCATTGCTGACCGGCAAAATGCCCCTTCCTGAAATGGGAGGTGAAGAGAGCAGGGATCTGGGAAATCTCAATCCTCCAGGTTCTCAAAAACAGAGTCGGCATCAGGTGTTTTTTCTTGTCTTAGGGGATGTGAATGAGCTGATGGATGTGGTTCGCCACCATGTTCCAGAGGCAAAGCTGGTGGAATGCATTGGTCAAGAAGTTATCTTCCTTCTTCCAAATAAGAATTTCAAGCAGAGGGCATATGCCAGCCTCTTCAGAGAGCTGGAGGAGACCCTGGCGGACCTGGGGCTGAGCAGCTTTGGAATTTCTGACACTCCCCTGGAAGAGGTAAAGCAGAGGTTTCAACTGGTTTCTGTCTGGTGCCAGAACAGGGAGTTCTTTGTAAAAGTCTAACACTAGAGTAAAGTTTTATAAAACAAAAAGCCATAATTCCCCACTCAAGCATAGCAACTGTCTTCATTTTTGGATCACTTCCTGCTGCCTCTGTCCACATGCATACATACTTACGTAGTTGTGGTTACGGTGTGCTTACATTTTTACATTTATATAAGACTGTGTTCTTAGATAAACAGCCATAATATATTTTCTTCCCATGATGAAGCAGTATCCAACAGAATGGAAGCAGTTACATTTTTCAGAAAGTGAAATGCATAAACCAATTCTCTTCTTTTCATTTCTCAACAGATTTTTCTGAAGGTCACAGAGGATTCTGATTCAGGACTTCTGTTTGCTGGTATGGTGCTGGAGCTTGCAGCTTGCTCACCCCGCCCCCGTACACACAGCAGCTCTGTCTTGAAAGTCTAAGGGAAGAGTCACAAAACAATGCAGGAAAATTCTCCTCTATGGTGTCTGACCTCTAAATAATAAGCACCTTGCATTCTTTGTGCCTTTGGGCGACAAAGGAGAAACAGAAAATCTGAATGAATCAGAGTATTAATGGTCAGATTTGTAGCTTGAGCCCAAAACTTCTCATCCTACATCTATAGTCTTTTATTCCTACCATGTCACCATCCCACCTCTTCACATCTCTACCAGACCTCTGATCCATTCCTGTCTGCATGAGTGGCAGCTGGCAGAATCCATAGAGATAACAGTGACAGTTAATACAACCCAGATGCCAGCCAGAGCCTCCTGGTCCCTAAGAGACCAAGATAAAATCACTGTGAGCCCTCATTTATTGACTTATGGACTTTTAAACTGGGAGGACCCAAATTCCTGTGGATTGCAGGAGTCTCTTCTACGTGCATCAACTTGAGTCCAGCTCACACAGCCACACAAAACATCGTGAGTACAGGAGACTTAGTGCAGAGTGAGGAGATGGGGAGATGGAAGTGCAGGAGAGATACCTTGTCTACCACAACACAAACCATTTCTGAAGGAACAAGAGACTTCTACCCATGCTGTTAAAATCTCACTGAGCCCTCCCTCAAGTGTAAACAAGTCTCTCCTTGCTGTCTGGGGCCCCTGGCACCACCTGTACCACTGGATACTTCCTCCTACCTGTGTGACACATCGTGGTGTTTTCCTTTGCAATATTTCCTCTCTCTGGGGGCTGTGGGACCAGTTTTAAGATAATCTGGTTTTTATTTTGTTTCTGAGTGATCTCAAGTATTTATCAGGTATGCCTAGAACTACCAGTGACCATACATCTCAGTCAATATGTGCTCCAGCCCACCCAGGCATGTCATGTGGTGGTCAGAAGAGCTGCTCTTCTTGACATAGAGCAGAAAGGGGGCAAGGAGGGAGATCCTCTGGTGAAGCGGGAGCAATCATAGGGCCTAGGTTTCTTTTTGAGCTTTGTGGGTATAGAAATTGAATTCTCTCAGTTCACCCAAAGCCAATGATTTACATTAAACAAGACCAGAATGAAAATATGCTAACTTATAGCAGAAGCTATGCTACATTGAAAAGTTAGGGCCTTTTATCTGTACAGAATACTCCTTAATGGACAATAAACTAGTCCTGGAATATTGTTTGGTCAGTAACGGAACAGAATAAAATATATCAAAGAGTCAGTCAGTGTTGAAGTCAAAAGTTTATCCTTAAAGCGAGGCAGACCAGACATCACACCTGAACTTCATAATTTGCTGAGTGGCTTTGGATAAGAACTTGTTGTCTTTGTGCGTCAGTTTCCTCATCTCTAAAGTGGAGACCATCTACCTTTTAGAGTTGTTGAGAGAGCCGGGCATGGTGGCCCACACCTGTAATCCCAGGACTTGGGAGGCTGAGGCAGGAGGATCATTGTGGGTTCAAGACCAGCCTGCGCTACAAAGTGAGCTCAAGGCCAGCCTGAACTGCACAGTGAGACCCTATCTCAAAAAAACAAACAAACAAAAAAAAAACAAATGGAGTTGTTGAGACAATTAAACAAGATAACGCATGTCAAGTCTTAACACAGTATGCAGTTTCTGATCAATACTTAGCAATACTTTTATTGCAACATTCACAAATCACCTATTACCTCAAATTTGTGTAACCTCTTACACTTGCCAAAGCACCTAACACCGGTTGTGTTATTTACTGTTTGCCATAATCTCATGAGGCAGGTAGGGCAGTGTTCTGCCCCATCTGGGGGAAGCTGAGCTCACAGAGTTGATTTACCTAAATTCCCACAAACTTCTAGGTCAGTGGTAACAAACCTATCACACATGTGCTGCAGCAGGCTGTTCGTTACCATCAAAAGCTCTAAAAGCTTTGCCACCACTGTTCCAGATCTTATTCTTTGAGCTAAGATCTGTACTCTCACCACCTTCCATTTTTCAGATGGCTAAGCATGTTTGTTTTCATTTGGCTCAGTTTTAGAGAATAACATTTTCTCATCTTGTCTCAAGTCAGAAGGAGCATATAGGTGTCTCCTGGAATAGAGCATGGCAGGGTGCCAAGGGGATCAGTGCCATTTCTGAAGGGGCAGCTCAGAGCCAGAGACCACTATAGAGCAGCAGAAAGCTAGGGACAGACTAGCAATGCTGAACAGGCCTGGGGCCCTTAACTGTGGCAGGTACAGTGGTCTGCAGCCTAGATAGGACCTTCAGAGGATGGAAGTGAGTTGGCCAAAAAGAAGGAGGAGGAGGAAGAGAGGAGGAGGAGGAGGAGAGGAGGAGAAGCAGGAGAGCGAGGAGAGCGAGGAGAGCGAGGAGAGGGAGGGAAGAGAGGAGAGGAAGAGTAAGAGGAGGAGGAGGACGAGGAGAAGGAGAAGACAGCCAGCATCAAACTTCAAATATGAGCCCAGGTCAGGAAGAGGAGCCTGGAGAATGAAGAATGTGGCACTAGTCCATCACTGAACCTGCAGAACTCTGCCCCTGGGAGTGCTGGGGCTGGTGCTCCCTGTCACCAGGGCCTCTGCCTCCTGGGCCTAGCTAGAACAGAGTGGGTACCTGCGAATGTTAGTTGAAAGGATAATTGAGCCAACCCAGCTGTCTTGACAGCTGTCCTCCTGAAGGGCATGAGGCCACTAAGAAAGCAGCTGGGGCCAATTCGCGGGATTCCAGGCAATTCCTCTGTATCTACCACACAGCTTCTGCAAAGGAGTATCTGTAAGTGACCATGAGCTCAACATAACTGACAACTTGCACTGTTTATACAACACTTTCACTGTACTATCTCATTTAATCTTCAAAGCAATTTTGTGATACATTTTCATCCCCATTTTACAGGAGAGAAAATTCAGATTCAGACAGAGTGAGACACTTCAAATTTATATATCTTATAAGAATCAGATTCCCCAGGTCTCCTAACTTCTAGTTAGCTAGTCCTGTTTCACTTTTCAATGGCCTCTAAGAATTCAGAGAGAACCAAGTTTACTCAAATTTGTAATTTTTTATGTACATAGATCATAAGTGATTGTATTTTGTTTAAAAATTGAAATAATTTCCAAAAGCCCCCATCTGCCTCGACCTGCCTGGTGGTATCTCTGGTGACAGTTGGCAGGCATCCTTTTGAGCTTTGCAGTTATGTGTGTGTACCTAAAGTGCCCTTTGTCTCTATGTGTAATGTGCAAACTTTCTAACATAAACATTAACTTATTACCCAGGCTGACCTCCACCTTCGTCAATGAACTCAACTATTTCGTTCTCTTTACTTTTTAAGTGATTTCAAGTGATTCTATAGAGAATTTACACTGATAAATAGATTTTTTTAAAGATTATTAATTTACCTGGCCTGGCATTTTGTTGCTGCTCTAAGAAAAGAAAAAGGGGAAAACAGAATCAATGCTGTTAGAGAAAAGCAGCACATAGAATCCAGAACTTACATGTATGTTTCCAAATTTTTTATTCAACCTCCTCAAATAGGTGACACTCAGCAGAAAAGGGAACACGTCAACCTCCGACACCCCTGCTTGGGGCCTAGCAAGAAGGCCAGGCAGCCTGACCAAGGTCCTAACACCTGCTCTCTGGAGCAGGATGCTCACCTGGAGGGCCAGGCTCCTCCGGAGCCAGAGCAACCCAGCATCCCGCTCAACACGGGTACACGGCTGGTCCTCCAGCACGTGCAGGCGCTGCTGGTCAAGCGATTCCACCACTCAGTTCGCAGCCACAAGGACTTCTTGGCTCAGGTATGTTGGGGGTTTTGACTGTGCTTGACAGCACTTTCTGGGGCCTGCTGGCCTGCTCCCGGTTGTCCCCTATTTTTTCCTGAGCATTCCTGCCCACATGGGTTCAAACACAGCCCTGAGCATCCTCTTTAGATTCTGTTGACTTTGCTTCCTCCTTGCTAAAACTTTATTTTGATCCTGGGTAACAAATGCCTTTGTAAGTACTGGACCTCACTCAGCAGAGAAAATGGAGTAGTAGTGATCGTGTTGATATTGTTTCTATTTTTTAGAGTGGAGGGTAAAGTCATATTTTCATTAGGGTTTGCAGTGACCCTGCATATCAAGGTCATTGTCTTTTTTCTTTTTATGTGTTTCATTCAGAAAGAAATCTCTGATCCAAAGAGTGGTGAGCAATGTCACTCGCTTTATGAATTGCTTTGGCTGAATATTGCCTACATTCATGTTCTTCCATGGCTGCCAGAGCATTCTGCTGTCTTCTATGTATCTTTTTTTTTCTTTAGTACTGAGGATCAAATCCAGGGTCTTGCCAGGCAAGTGCTCTACCACTGAGCTACACCCCAAGGCCTCTTCCACATACCGTATCTTATCTCTGCAATCCTACCTGTAATATCCCCCCAGAAGCGTATCCTTCTCCACCAGCATCTGCTTTTGAGGTAGCAGGATAAGTGTTTAAAAAAGCAGGCGTGTGTGCACGTGCGTGTTTGCCATCTCTCACGCCTCAACTGTATTTCCACGTTCATCCTCCCAGATTGTGCTCCCAGCCACTTTTGTGCTTTTGGCTCTGATGCTTTCCATCATTGTGCCTCCTTTTGGCGAATTTCCCGCCCTGACGCTTCACCCCTGGATATACGGACAGCAGTACACCTTCTTCAGGTACACAATCCACATGTGGCTTGGAAGAACCCTGACCGTCCCTCCCTGAGGTTTTCATTGCATGCAAGGGGCCATCTGCTTCCCTCAGAAGCGATGTTAATGTTCTTGCCACTGCCTAGAAAGATGGCCCCAAGTGGAAAGGGGGAAAGAAGTGGATGTGAAGTTGGGGAGAGCAGGCTGAGCTCCATCTTTTTGAGGTGCAGATAGTCTGCCATCAGATGCTAGGCATAATCAGGCAGCCTACCCTCCCAGGAGACCTAAAGCCGCTCCAAGGCAGCGTTCAGGGCCTCATACATGTGCCTGGCACATAGCTGCCATTCAGTGGGCTCTAAATTGCATGCTGGCTGCGTTTGTCTGTGCTGCACCAGTCATGGGACCACTGGGTAAACCTGTCTCTCTGTCTAGCATGGACGAACCTGGCAGTGAGCGCCTTGCTGTGCTAGCAGATGTCCTCCTGAACAAGCCAGGCTTTGGCAACCGCTGCCTGAAGAAAGTGTGGCTTCTGTAAGTCTCTGAGCTCCCCTGCCCTAACACCAACTGCTCTGATAAGGGTCTAGGTTGTGAGAGACCTCTTCAGTCTTGCTCAGTATTACACAGATCACTTCCGTATCCCTGGCCAGCATCTAACCAGCCTTTCTTCAACATTGTGCAAAGGCCTTTACTACCTCCAGGAATCCCTGCAGTACTGGACACCTCTCTCTCAATGTAGTGGTTCTGTATTGAGCAGACATATGGTTCCCATAACTTATTTGAAAGGCCTCTGAACAGGGACAGAAGGATAGCGCAGGATACACTGTTATGTAACTGGACCTCAAAGACACTAATTACTTCTCTGCTAGCTCTCCGTTATCAGTATAAATATAAAGAAGGGAACTGTGGAGGAGAGTTGAAATCTACCAGGAATTCTACAAACTCAGTATAATTTTAATTTCTCTTCTTGTCCAGTCGACCAGTGAGAATCAATCCACACTAATTTATAATTCCTTTTGTAGTGTTCTCTCAGGTAGAGCTACTAGAAAGTCCGCAAACTATTTAGTTATTTCCTAGCCCCACACCCGGTCAGCCAGCCTCAGTGCTGATGGTTCCTGAGCATAACTGAACCTCTAGCAGGCCGAGAAGGAAGTGGTCTGAGGAGGGGAAAGGCTGAGAAAGAGCATTAGATGCTATTTCTTCTTCCAAGAAATTTTTTAAAAAATCAACTTAAGAATTGATTGTGGCTTATTTTCCTGTTTTCCATGAGGGAGTACCCCTGCGGCAATTCAACCCCTTGGAAGACCCCCTCTGTGTCCCCGAACGTCACCCACCTATTCCAGAAGCAGAAATGGACGCCGTCCAACCCCTCACCCTCCTGCAAATGCAGCACCAGGGAGAAGCTCACCATGCTGCCTGAGTGCCCCGAGGGCGCCGGGGGGCTCCCCCCGCCACAGGTACCTCTGCCCCTCCGGAAACCAGCCCCCATTCTGTGGGCAGTGCAGGCACAGCGTTAGTGGGCTCCAGGCTCAGAAAGCGTGCCTGTCCCCCCTGAGCCTGTAGCCAACTAACATTTCCAACTAACTACGGTAGGAAAGGGCCAAACGAGGCTCCCTGGGTCTTTCAGAGGCGCTTCCCGGAGGCCCTTGTCATTGCCACCTACAGGAAGTCACTGCCCAAAACTTCATTTTCCACCAAACGCTTCCTGTTCGATTCAAGAACATGTTTTCAAAGTTTAAAAAATTACACAGGGTATCTATTCTCATTACAGAAAAGCTAGCAAACACAGATAAGTCAGGGAAAAAAATCATCTCTTAGAGGTAACCATCAGTAACATTTGATTTTTATCTATCCAAACAGGATTATATTCAAAATATTGTCTTAAAACCCACTCAGTTCACTTTGACATATGAACATACAGCCATGTCAACTAATGTACATCTATACATTTTAATAGCTGCATATTTTATAATGTTTGGATTTACTTTAAATTATTTAACTAATCCCCTATCATTGGACATTTGGGTTTTCAATATTTTTGCACTATTAACCATACTGTGATATGCATTCAAGTGTTAGTGGATTTACACACTTAATAATGGCCTTATAAGAAGCTTCCATGTACTGTGAATTTAACGTGTGTGCCCATGCACCCCCCCACACAGAGCCAGCAGCACATCTGTCACAGCATTGTCACTGCTCTGAGCAGCACTGTCTCTTACAGTTCTGCACCCCGGACAGCCGTGACGCTCTCCTGGGCATTTCAGAGGTAAAATGGCCAGAGAAGCTTCAGTTTGTCCCTGTTTGGTAATGTCCTCCTGGTCGGCTTTGCATAATAGCTTTGCACGGCTCCTCTCACGATCCGTCAGTGCATGAACACTTCTCAGACAGGCAGGGTGGCAGAGTGGGAGCGGCATGGCTGAAGTGGGGAGGGAGGCTCGAGTTGGTTACTTGCCTTCTTCATTTCCTCATCTAGAAGCTGAAGCACTCTAATTTCGTAGCATTATTATGAGGATTTCATGAAATAATATGAGTAGAGAATTCTTTAGAGTTGGTCAACTGAAATGATGACGACTTCGAACCAATAGTGGAGGAAACAGGACATGGCTTGTTTTTTCCCATCTGGGTGGCCCACGACGTCCTGCTGCTTGCCCGTGCTCCAACCCCTAGGCTGCCATGGCAGGATCTACTTTCCAGGCAGCAGGATGGGGAAAGGAGTAAAGAAAAAGAAAGGAAAAAATGGGCAAATGTGTGCAAAGAAGGTTTCCAGAAGGTCCCAAATAGCTCTCCCACTATTATGTCACTGGCCGGAACCTCACATCAGGGAGACTTGGGGCTCTAGGCTTTATTCTGAGTGGTCTGGAGCCAACAAAAAAGGTCTTGCAGTGTTAATACAAAGAGCAGACTTGGGGGAATGACTAAATTTTACCAAAGCATCTATCACCATTGCTGGTTTATGAAGGATTCTATATTAATCTTTCTCTCCAAGCATCCACCTTTATTTCTGAAGCAATATATTCCCTCCAAATCACAACTCCAATACTCCATCGCTGGAGGCCAGGGAGATAGCTCAGCAGCATAGTGCCTTGCTTGGCAAGTGCAAGGTCCTGAGCTCGATTTCTGGTACAAAAAACCCTTAAAACTGAATGTCACACATCTGCCTAAGCACCGGGCCTTCTCTGTCTCTCTCAAGTACACACTCCCATTCTGCCTGGCGTAAGAACAGAGGGTATGGGCTTGGTTCTGAAGTAGTAAATATTTTTAGTCTGGAAAATGGGGTGGTCACTAGAGTCCCTTCCTTCTCTAAAATTTTTTCAAGAGTAGTGGGTCCTGAGTTGGAGGAGCTCTGTCCCTGGCTTCTAGCATAATTAGAGACAAGTAAGAGGACTTTGACACAATTTTTAGAAAATGGCTTATTATAAATCATCCCAACATCAGTAAGATTTCCAGCCTGGATTGCACTAGGGAGGGTGGCATTTTCCCTGGATGCCACTGTCAACCTGAGAATCAGGTGATGGAGTGTCAAGGACATGAAGTCAGACATGTCCAAGTTCCAAATCCAGGCCAACAACCTAGTCATGGAAGGCAGGGCAAGTCAGCCAACCCTTTTGGACTTCTGTTTCTGTCTGTAAAGTAAGAGTTCTTCTTTCATGTACCCACTCCCCAAGATTGTTGTAAACTGCATGTATTGCCGACATGTACTAATTTTTTTAAAGTATCAGGGTTGAGTGAGACTGTTTAACATAGTGCCTGGCTCACAGCAAGCTTTCAGTAAGTGCTAGTTCTAGCACAGAGAGAAACATGATGAAGTAAGTGAACTGAAGAGGGACAGTCAGATGGGAAGGAGGAAGGCGAGATGGAAAGTGCACAAAAATGAAAAGAACGGTGCATGATGGCGGTGGCTCAATGCCACCAAAAATCCCCACACCTACCCCTGGGTGGCACCGTAGACAAAGTGAATGCTTTTGCCCAAGTTTCATGGCTGGGGTTCATGAACCTACTGAAATTAGCTAATCCAAGAAACTCAGTAAACACTGTGTGTTCCTAAATGCAAAGCTATATTGCCACCTGCAGGCCAAACTCATAAATCTTTTGAATTCTCCAAAAATATTTTGGATTAATCAGCTTCTGGTCCTCGATGTATTTTGAAAGTGGTTTGTAAATTGCAAAGTACTATTCAAATTATTTTATTCATGTCCCAAATACTTTGTGTGACAGCTCTATGCCAGGAATGAGTTTGGGTGCCAGGGACATAACAGCCAATGGGTCAGGGATTACATCTTTGCTTTCGCAGTAATGATACCATGTTGGGGCAGCGGCACGGGGCGGGGGGCAATGGAAACAGTAAGTGGGCCCATCAGAAGGAAAATCTCCTATGAAGATGAGCACTATGAAGGTAACAGCAGTATGTGACTATGGAGAGGAGCTGGAAATGGAAATTCTGCTCAGATGAGTCAAATTTTGGCCGAGAGGTAGCAATGTGTAGTTCCTAAGCAGGGTGAACTACAAAACACAAAGCCAGGTCAAAAGTGAGAGGTGCCCCTGGAGAAACTGGAGGGAGTGGGGAGGGTGAAGGGAGGGCGGCAGGTGACGTCACACAGGAAACCAGGGCCAGATTACAAAGACTCACAGCGCCTGCATAATGGGATTGGATTTGACCCTAGGGTTTATTGGGAGAGTGGTAAGCAAAGTGGCTGAGGTGTGTGATTTATACTTTTAAAGCTCCGTCCGGCTGTTGGGTGGAGAATGGAACGTGAAGGAACAAGTGTGGAGTAAAGGAGACAATGTGGAAGTTTTCTAGAGACCTAGATGGGGTCTGCATGATTGGAGATGGATAGATGCACACGAATTGGAGAAGGCTGAAGCTGGATCAGCACACAGGGCTAGAGGTTTATTTTGGAGTTAAGGTCACCTATCTTGTCAATGGACTGGAGATTTATGACCCCCACATCACTGATGTGGGAAGTAGGCAGATACCAGTGCTTTACTTTGTATTTTCCCAGGAACTGAGTCCATAAATAATGTTTGGAGAAAGCAGTTTCACAAACTATAAAGTCTCAAATGTCAAAGTAATTAATATGAGTGTCTCATTGCTTCAGAGAACGCAGGCCAGCACTGAAATCCTACAAGACCTTACCAACAGGAACATTTCCGACTACTTGGTAAAAACATATCCTGCTCTTATAAGAGGCAGGTAAGAAGGGACTCTTTGTTACTTTGTTTTGTTTTAGATATACATAATAATAATGTTCATCATAGGGACTTTGTACCTGTACATGATATATCTTACTTCTTTTTCTCCCATTCCCCTCCTTTCAACCCCTCTTCCCTTCCTTATTTACAAAAGCTTTATTGCTATTTTTTTTAATCCCAGCTCCTTGTAGACCAAACTGGCTAGGCACAGACAGTAATTTACTCTCATAGTATCTATGATCAGGGCAGTGGGATATTTTCTTTTTTCAAATGAAAGAGCAAAACTTAAGCTACACAGTATTTCAAATATTACTTAAAATGCCTAGAATCTATTCAATAATTTAGTCTTGTATTTTAACTTGTTGAAAGGACAAAGTTTGGACAAAAGCAAGTAAAGAAGAGGAAAATAGAAGGGGAAAAAGAGAGAAGCAAGAAGTAAAAAACAGAAAGGAGAAAGGAACGATTAGACTCCAACAGGAGAGGTAGTGGGGTAATATCTGAGTGTGTGCCCAGCAACGAGCTAGATGGGTTAACTGCAGTCACATACTTTCTGAGATATCATTGCCCTTGAAAACTCCCATGAACTCTTCAGTAAGTATCTCGCTCGTGCAGCTCCGCAGCTGTTTTTATCAGGCCCAATCTCTGGGATGGAAGGCCTTCGCACCCCTATCAGAGCCAGCAGCTTGACCATAGCGTGCTATGGCGAGCTTCTACGGATGTGCCATCCAGTCTCCGTCTCTGAGGTTTTAAATTAAGCAAACCGTCTAATTTTAGTAGTGCTTTCAGATGCTTCCCCTACCAGAGCCCCGAATAAGGGGTAAACAAACTGAAATAACTAGAAAGCACTGCAGAGGGTGAACACGGCTGCTGGAGCAGAAGGCCAGATCAGCAGTTAGTGAAATCGAGAACCCCATCCAAGCCCCATAATAAAAGCAGAGCTCATAGTGTTTATTCAGTAATGCAATAAATGACTCTCAACTTTGTTCTCAACAGCAGATTTGCAATGTAGAATTTTAGATTTTTTTTTCTTGATGTTTGATGACAATAATAGTTCATAGGCTTGAACTCTGAGGCCTAGAGCTGGTGCTTGTCCATTTCCCATCTTGTCATTTAACCTCTGATTGTCTGAAATTCAGTGTCTAAACTTTGAGCTGAGGAGGGAGTCAGAACTTGCTCCAGGTGTCCAGATGATTGTTAGAGTCTCATTTGTACAGGATAAAGAAAGGAGGGCTACAGGCTTCACTCTGTCCTGGTGCGCTCGTTCCCGTGGTTTCTGGATCCAGATTGGGCACACTGGTCTGACGTGGGATCTGATTACAAGGTCACTTAGTCCAGCACATAGAGTAGCACTGGAAGAGTCAACGGTAGGAAAGAGAAGTCTTTTCCCTGCATATTCATTCAGGCTAGGTCTCCAGGCTGGGTGGCTTCCAAATTGTTCAGACATCAGGAAATGCAAAAATACCCTTAAAGAATCAGACATCCCCGTGACTTGAAACAAAAATTAATACTACTTACTGTATTTATTGCATGATTTTATTTTGGCTTTCAGCTTAAAGAGCAAATTCTGGGTCAATGAACAAAGGTAAGAGATTGCTTTTATAAGAAATTAATGTCTCATATTATGAGCCTAGATACTCCTCAGCTGATTCCTTTTAAGTTTTAGTGGGTCTGGCCCAGCCCTGGTGTCCTAGAAGCTCAAATGGCACCAGAGGTTTGGAGAATCTTCAGGGGGTATTCTAGGAGTGCACTGCCTCCCAGGCTCCCTCAGGACTTGGGTCTCTGGAATGGGTGCCTGGCCAATGCCTGGCTTTCCTGGGTGGGTCATGGAAGTGAAACCCAGTTTTGAGGAATGTCCCCTAGAGGGAACTAGGGGGCCACCACTGAAGTAGAAAGTGGGGGCAAAGGAACAAGGCCTTGAGAAAGAAGAACTTCAGTGAACTATCTCCCCAAGTCTGAAGGCCAGAATCCCAGTTAAGATGGTAGAAAAGAGTCAAGACAGAGATGGCGAGAGCTACTTAAACCAGGGGTGGGGCTGAGAGGCACCAAGAGGGAACTTTGTCCCACACAGATCTAGAGCCTCTAGTGGTGTCAGAGGCACCTGCAGCGCACAGAGGTGGCACAGAAGAGGAATCACCGGTTAGAGTGGAAGAGAGTGGGTGGGTGAGAGTCAGGGAAGACATCAAAGAGTGATGACACATGAAAGGTGAACTGCAGTTGCTCAAATGCTCACGAAAGGGAAGGGCACCCCAGGGGAACCAGCAGCCTGGCAAGGCAGAGAAACAGGTCAATGTGGACCATTTGGAGTTCAGTGATTGGACATGGCCAGAACATGCCTGTACAGAAAGGTAAGAGGGGTGAAGATGGAGAGAAGCAGAGAGCCAATGAGAGACAGACAGTTTGTAAAGTAGAACAATGTTGCTTGCTAGCCCAGACAATTCCCCCCAAAGTATACATTTTCCTACTGAGACTGAGAGAGCCACCGGTAGGCCTGACATTCATCACACTGACCTAAGAGTTTCTTGCTGCCTCACAGGTATGGAGGAATTTCCATCGGAGGAAAGCTCCTGGTTCTCCCTGTCACTGCAGAAGCAATTGTTGGTTTTTTAAGTGACCTTGGCCAGATAATGAATGTGAGCGGGGTATGTAAGCAGAATGAAGATTTGAGTAGGATTTTTGAGTTGCTTAATTATAATAAAGTAGAAATTATTATGAATGTTGCAGGGGTCATCTTACATGTTTATTATGGTTTTCTAGGGCCCTATCACCAGAGAAGTCTCTAGAGAAATGTCTGATTTCCTCAAACATCTTGAAACTGAAGACAACATTAAGGTACTTGACCTGCATAAGCTGCCCTATAGCTAAAAACTCATGTGAGCTGATTGTTTTATTATTGTTTTCCCAGCTTAGTTAGATTCCATCCCTCCTCCTACTGAAAACTAGAGAGGAATGTCTTCCAGCTGCCAAACCCTCCCTTCTTCTCACACTTTTTCCTGTTGCTAATTTTGTCCTTGAACAGCTAGCATTAGTGCCAGCTCAGGGGTCAGGTTGTAGCAGAACTCGACAAAGCTCATCCCTGCCTTCTAGGTGTGGTTTAACAACAAAGGCTGGCATGCCCTGGTCAGCTTCCTGAACGTGGCCCACAATGCCATTCTCCGGGCCAGCCTGCATGAGGACAGGCACCCGGAGGAGCACGGAATCACTGTCATCAGCCAGCCCCTGAACCTCACCAAGGAGCAGCTCTCAGAGATTACAGTGTAAGTCACCACAGCCCTGCCTCACAGCTCACTTGTCACCTCTGCCACTCTTTGGGTACCCAAGAAGATTTTCATTTCCATGATGTGCTGGGTGAGAAGGCAAAGCTGTTTAATCAACCGCCTCATAAAAATGTAAGACTCTCCAATGCTTTGTGGACCAAACTGCTTGGCCATTCTTCTTCCCCCACATTTACTTAGAAAGTAAGCTTGTATTTTACTCCATTTCCTTTGGACTCTCAATAACAAGATGCTCATGAAGTTTACACAGATATTCTCCTTGCCTGTAGGAAAAATGATTGCCAGGGGGCAGGGAAACTTCAGTGAACTATCTCCCCAAGTATATTTATCTTAGATTCTGGTCATTTCTGTCAGATGGCCATGCCTTGGATCTGTCCATAGATCTTTGCTTTCCTCCAGCTCAGGTTCCTACAGCACAGCATTAGGCAATAAAAATATCAGTCTTGTGCATTTGCACTGTTTGCTCTGTATGAGGCCCATGTGGAGAAGGGGTTGTAGGAGTGTCTTTGTTAGTGCAAACTTCTGTAAAGTGGTAGGGTCCTCATTTTATTATCCCAAATACCCTAAGTGCTACTGATACAGCAAGTATCAGTTCACAAGAAAACTGAAAAGGCAGGAAAGAATAAAGCTTTATTAAGCCGGCTGATGGACAGTCTCTAACCAGGACCCAGAGAAGATGTCCACCCTGATCTGGGTCTTACCTCCTGTTTAAGTACATTTTAAGTTTCCATAGTAACTATTACCTCATTTTTGGGAATCTTACAAGAATATCATTCTCCCAGAAGCTATCAGACAGCCAAATTCCAGATGACCATTGCAGTTTAACTTTTAACTTACTTCCTAATTTGTCCTGTTTGTTCTGTTCCCATTTTATGATTCTGCTATCCTTTAAATGGGTTGATAACTAACCAAGGTGAAGGGGTCAACTACATCTTAAGTGAACTTTAAGTGACTTCCCCTAATAAGGAGTTAAAAAACAGAAAAATGGAGTCTCTCTTGTCCTAACACTACTAAACATGCCCTGTGGTGTCTGGGCCTTGGGCCCTTGGTGCCTGCCTCTGGACACTCTCTGAGGCCCTCAAGTTTCTATACATCATGCCAAACTTTTTGAATAGGAAATTTGAAAGAGCAGTCCTCTGTAATCATAAAATAGAATATGTTCATTAAATTAAAATTTACATAATAGAGTTTTGAGAACTTACTATGTCTAACTCTACGTGGTTTAACTAACTCTGCAAGGACTTTGTGTGTTTCCTTCCAGTGATGATCCTATGCTCATTGCAGCTGTAGATGGTACCATTCAGAGTTTTTATTAGGGAAATTTCAACATATGGTTCCACTTGTACTTAAAGTTCAGGCTGCATTTCAGCCCTTACCTACTCCCTCAGCCAGCGTAAACAGAGCCCAGTGCTAAGCACCAGTTTACCACTGGAGTGAGTCAGTCCCATCGCCTACTGGCTGACCAACTTCTTCTGGGACATCATTCTCTTTTCAGTTTGGGATTTTTTTTTTTTTTTTTTTTTTGAGACCGGGTCTCGGTATGCAGTTCAGGCTGGCCTTGAGCTCATTGTGTAGCACACACTGGTCTTGAACTCACAACGATCCTCCTGCCTCAGCCTCTCGAGTGCTGGGATCATAGGTGTGAGCCACCACGCCTGGCTCAGTTTTGTTTATATAATGAACATTTCTCCAAGATATGATTAAATAAGATCATTTATTTCTTTCAACAAAAGGTATAAATTTCACAGATATATGGTATCTACATAAAAAACCTAAGAGAATCTATAGACAAATTATTAGAGCTAAGAAAAGCATTGTAGTATGTGATATAAATATGAACAACCCTCTCTATATACTGTAACAAATAATTAGAACACATAATAAAATGAAAACTTGTCTAGAAATATTCATGTGAAACTAAAAGTAATTCATAAATGCCCACTTGACCTTGACCCAGATTGATTAAGTTGGTTCTGAGGGACGATGGGCTTCAGGCTAGGGACAGGGAGTCTGGAACCTTGGAGTTGGGTAAGGACTGCCAGAGCCTGATATGGACTTTCTTCTGTTTCTGCTCCTCCTTCTACACCTCTCTCTCCCCTAATCTCTGGTCCTGCTGCAGGCTGACCACTTCAGTGGATGCTGTGGTTGCCATCTGTGTGATTTTCGCCATGTCCTTTGTCCCAGCCAGCTTTGTTCTTTACTTGATCCAAGAGAGGGTGACTAAAGCTAAGCACCTGCAGTTTATCAGTGGAGTGAGTTCCACCACCTACTGGCTGACCAACTTCTTCTGGGACATTGTGAGTGTCAGGTCTCCCCTCATCTCTGGTCCAAGGTGATGCTTGTGTGTGTCCTGACAGGAGACATGGCAGTGAGGGGGTCTTGCACTGCCAGAAGTATGAAAGCCATGAGTTCTCTAGCAATGCAATGGAATGTGTCAGTCAGCTTTTCATTGCTGTGACAAAATACTTGGGAAATCAACTTAAAGGAAGAAAGATATATTGATTCACTTGGGTTCATGTCACAGGTTTCAGTCCATGGTTGGCTGCCTCCATTCTCTCTGGGCCTGTGGTGAAGTAGTACAGGGCATGGCAGAGCAAAGCTGCTCCTCTTGTCACAGCTGAAAGCAGAGAGGTGCAGGGAGAGCCAATGAAGGTACCATGGACCAAGCATAGCTCCAAAGGTCCCAGTGGCCCTAATTGTTCCATCAGGGCCTACTTCATGTTTCCATTCCCTCCACGAATGAATTAAGCTACTCCAAGAAGTTAGAGCCCTCAAGATCCAGTCACTTCCCCAAAGCCCAACAGCTGGCAACCAAGCCTTGAACACAATGGGCCTTTGGGAGGACATTTTGGACCCTTATCATATCATGGGGGACTAGGAACAGTTTAACATATATTTTCTAAGGAAGAACTATTTAAACAGATGGAATCAATCCCATACTCTATAAGACCTAGAGGAGCCTGGTTTCACTCCGCATTTTACATAACAAGAAACGTAGATCCTAGAGACTCAGTGACTTACTGCCCTCTTCTCTCTTCAAGACAAATTATGCTGTGAGCGCGGGACTGGTGGTTGGCATCTTCATTGGGTTTCAGAAGAAAGCCTACACTTCTGCACAAAATCTTCCTGCCCTTGTCGCACTGCTCATGCTGTACGGGTAAGTTGTTTGGGCCCTAGCTAAAGCCCCTAAAGGGAAGCCAAGGGAGGGAGTGTTATCTTCTAATGGCAAATCTGCCCCTGGCAGGGGCTGCGGCTGCTAATGAGGAATCTGTCTGACATCTGTTTCTGACTCTACCAAGGAAGGTGTTTCTGATCCCTGGTCCATTCAGGAACAATGAGAGGAGCCTACCTGGCTCTGCCTGGCCTGACTTTTCTTCTGCTCCAACTGTGACCTTGACTAAAGACTAAGAATTGGTCACTCCCCAGTTTTTCTTCCACTCTAATTCTGATTCCTCTGAAGCCAATCTGACTCTTAGTGTCTCCATCTGTACTGCCAGGAGTTATTTGCACACAGTAGAAAACTCCAGGTGGAAAGCTTCTCCTGAGTCAGGCTAGAGAATGACAGAGATTCAGTCCAGTAGAAACTGCACAACTTTATATCCCAGGCCTACCGCTTGTGGCAGGGGTAACTATAGACAAGTAATGCATTCATCTGGGCCTCAGTTTCCTCATCTATAAAATGGAAATAATGAAACCTGGCCCTTTCTGTTGGGGCTGGTAGAATCTTACCAGAATGATTTTTGGTCTCAAATCGTCTTTCTGGGAAGTGGAGAATTCAGAACCAATAAAAACTATTCAGTGAAGTGTGAAAATGAGCTTCCTGGGACTTCTAGCTCTGTCTTGCTACTCCAGCCTAGAGTGGGAAGCACTGAGGGGTAGAGAACCCCTGTGCACTGTACAAAGCTTTATAGTTACAAAGCACACACAGCTACTGTCTCACTTGCTCCTCACAAAACCTGTGAGGTAGTCAGGGTAGGCATTATTTTCTGTTTAAAGATGAGGCAGAGACACCAGGGGATGGCTTGTCTCTTTCCCCTCTGGGACTCTGACCAGTTCAAACATGTTATATCATACATGAGGATTATATGTAGAGATTAGACTGATGGAATGGAAACTGGAACCCTGTCCCACAGACCTGTGTCATCTCACACAGATGGGCAGTCATCCCCATGATGTACCCAGCATCCTTCCTGTTTGATGTCCCCAGCACAGCTTATGTGGCTTTGTCTTGTGCTAATCTGTTCATCGGCATCAACAGCAGTGCCATCACCTTCGTCCTGGAATTATTTGAGAATAACCAGGTAAGCCTGACTCTCTTCTCTCTCGGTGTCATGTTTGGTTAGTGGCACACTGACAGCACGTACTGGCCAGGCAGAGCCGTGGAAAGCGCTGTACTGTATCTGTGGGTGCTCAGTGTCCAGAGGAGTATCGCCACCCCCTCGGCCCCTTCTCCCTCCCTCTCTCCCTTCCTCCTTCCCTCCCTCCCTTTTTTCTTTCTGCTGATCTATGTGCTCTCAGTACAATGATGTTCTAAACCTAATCTGCAAGCTATAAATTACTTCCCAACATACTAACTTTTTAGATTTTCTCACTCTTTCAAGAAAGTTTCCTTGGGAACCATGGGCATCAGTTTCTCCCTCTCCCTGTCCTTCTCCTTCTCCCTCTCCTTCTCCCTCTCCCCCTCTCCCTTTCCTTCTCTCTTTTTCCCTCCTCCCTCTTCTCTCTCCCCTCTCTCCTCTTCCTCTCCATCTCTCTCTCTCTCTCTCTCTCTCTCTCTCTCTCTCTCTCTCCCATAACACATTCAAATGATTTCAAAATGGAAAAGAAAGAAAAGATGCACAAGAAAAACCTCCCTTCCTACCCCTGTTTCTGATTCACTTAGTTTCCTTCTCCTCAGACAACCTTAAGAATTTCTAGAGTTTTCTGGAGACATATAACCAAATACATAGATATTATTTCTCCTACACTCTTACACAAATTATAATATACTAGCATACTTGTACCCAAGTTAATCCTGAGGACAGCTTTAGGAAGTTATGGTGCTGAATAATTCAGTTTTAGAAGCTATAAAGTCCAATTGTCTTTTGTGCACACTTCTTGACACCTTATTGCCCATATAGAGATGCCATACCGAATCCTTAATAAAACAAAAAGGTCAGCGGCTGTAGAGCTATTTTTACTCCACACCCTCACTCCCAGCAGCTGTGTCTGAGTCCTGCCGTGGCTGTCCTTGGATTGTTTGGGCTCACTCATGTGCCTGTATCCCCAGCTATGGCGCTAGCCTTTCCTTTCCTCACTAGCTCTTCATAGTTCAGGGGCGGGCAAATCTACGCAGAAGCCCACAGACAACCACCTAATCCCCTGGCCTCCTGAGAGCCACTCCTTCCCAGACCTAGTCACGTTTTCTGTGGCTGCTAATTGGGAAATGAAACCCACCTGCCCCATGAATTATAGAAATGTGATATGTCAGGCATGGTGGGTCAGCCCTGTAATCCCCACATTTTGGAAGCCTGCAGCAGGAAGACTGCAAGTTCAAACCAAGCCTAACCATGTCTCAAAATTTAAAAAAAAAAAAAAAAGCTGGGGGTATAGCTCAGTGCAAAGCCCCTGGGTTCAATCCACAGTAACACACACACACACACACACAATATATATATGTCACAATCAGAGTCAGACTTCAGAAGGGAGAGGAGATAGACAAGACACAGATCCAGCGGATGGACAGAACATCCTGGTGGATGAAAGTACCACTCATCAGAGCTGCTTCTGTCACAGACTCACAGTGCACTCATTCTCAGGAGAGGGTATTACTTCAGAATAAAGAAGTGACAAATGTAAAGCCACTCAGGATGTTTTCCCTTCTGTGGCCTCACTGAGCCACATACTGAACTCTTAGCCATTTACTGAGTACCCTCCTACAAGATGATTACTTGAGGACCTTATCAGATGCACAGAAATTGCCATGGGAGTGTCCTGGGTTTCGGCAGTTGCTGTCCCTGCTTGGCCAGGAGGTATTTACTAGATGAACATCATGCGTTGGATATGCCAGTATAAATAAGTGTGACCCACTGGTGCTGACCCTAGGAGCTCTTGTTCCAGTCAAAAAATGACCTGCCAACAAGTTAGCAACCAACATAAGCCACAGTATATGACACTGCATGAGACGGTGTGCTATACGCCATCAAAGGAGCAAGGCAGGTAAATACTACAGATCAGAGTGGGCCAGAAAGCTGGGCTACAACTTAGTACAGTCTTAGTGCAGGAAATGTAACTTGGCCTGTCCTGGAATAAGTAAAATTGTATTAGCGCATTTATAAATAATGCACTACCTACTATAACCATTGTGCAAATGACTTATTTTAGGAAAATAATTAGGACTCAGTCCCTGCCTTCCAGGGTGTCAATGACTAGTGGAGAAAGTAGACAGGTTAAAACAATAATTAAGTAATTACAGGAGCATGGTAAGTACTATTAGAAGTGGATGTTTCTCCATGGGACTCTGAGAAGGCTTGAGAGAGAAGGGACTATTTGAGCAAGCTCTCTAAAGAAGGACAGGAATCTGTCAGAGAGCAGAAAGGAAAAAAACATCCTTTGCTGCCTTTGGGCGGTTTGTGCAAGACCAAGATACAGCGGATGAAAAGCCTCCATCCAGGGACAACTCACAGCTGTACCAGTGGAGATACCTGTGCCACGCTCCCATAAGCTGCTTCAGGTCCTGCCACCACCTTCCTGGGAGAGCTCCAGGTGATCACAAGTGCATCTGCGGGACAGCTGCCAAGCAGACCGCAGAAGCAGCTGCTTCTCCACAGATACCCCTTATCTACGCAGCTGCCCAGGCGTAAGGAATGCAACACGCAAGTTCTGTAGTTAGCCCCAGTGCCTAGAGTACTGGACGCAGTAAATATGAAGCAAATGCTGCCTAGATCTAGGAGGTGTCACCTCCTGCCCACCAGAAACATTCAAGGAGCCCCAGCATTGATTAGTAATGAACTGATTGCTTCCTTGGCCCTGTCCTGAGGCACCACCTGCAAACACTTGAGGACTCTCCTGTCAAACTCTCTTAACAGGCCGCCTGTGGCCAGCCTAGCTCTAAGGATGTTTATCTGCCCACCTCCCCTGGCCCTTCCCTGTGGGCGCATCTGGACCCACCTGCTCAGGACAGAGCGGGCAGCCTCAGCTCCCACTTCCAACAGTCACGCTTCTCTGTTTCAGACGCTGCTCAGGTTCAACGCCCTGCTAAGGAAGTTGCTCATTATCTTCCCTCACTTCTGCCTGGGCCGGGGCCTCATTGACCTGGCACTGAGCCAAGCCGTGACAGATGTCTATGCCCGGTTTGGTAGGTGGCATTTGAGTCTGATGGTAACAGAACCTGAATGTGTGGAGGCTGGGAGGCTTGCAACAGAAGTTCCTATATCAGATCTGCACCCTGGGCTGGGGCCGGGAGGGCGTCTAGATGCTGCTCCGCCAGTCGGGCATTGCCCTGACACCTAGAAGGGACGAATGTGCCTCTGTTTCCTGCCTGAGGAAACCCAGAAAGAGCCAAGGGCTGACTTTTACTCTCCCCCATCTGACTAGGGGAGCTAAGGTGCAACTCATATTTGACTTTCACTTAATCCTTTTCTCAAGGGCCAGTCCAGCTGGCCCTGGTGTCACTGTAGCCTGGTCTTTAGGGGTGAGCTGGGACACAGATGCAGAGTCAATTCCTGCTGATGTCAGTGGCTTCTCTCCCCAGGTGAAGAACACTCTTCAAATCCATTCCAGTGGGACATGATTGGGAAGAACCTGGTCGCCATGGCAGCTGAAGGGGTGGTGTACTTCCTTCTGACCCTCCTCATCCAGCACCATTTCTTCCTCACCCGATGGTACACGCTTGTCACATCCTGAGGGAACCAATGGGCAGCTTGGTGTATCCAGAATCAGAGTTCATATGACGTGGTCACCTCTTTCCTCAGAGCCTGTGTGATGGTTATCTACACTCTCAAGGCCTGGAGTGTTTCAAATAACAGAGGGGAGAGATGGGTTAAAATAAGCATGCTAGAATTTGGGCCAACATTCAACTTTAAAATATTTAAAAGGCAACAGTACTAGTTTCAGTTCCTAATCTTTAATCTTTCCATTTAATTACCACATACTTCATTTTAAATCAGATGATAAGATTGCTAATAACAATGGTTAAGGGGTATCCAAAGTACTAGGAAATAGGTTTATGTATACATGAGAAAAGCAAAAAAAAGGTCCTCTTTGCTAATTAGAGATATACATGGGTAGATAACTGCCAACCCTAACTTCACCAGGACTTCTCCATGGCCAGGCCAGCTGGCCATGTACCCAGTCCAGCCATTCTCCTCCAAGACCCTCCCTCCCCGATTGTGCCCTGGGTCTCCAGAGGGCAGCACCTCTGCAGGCCAGACCTTCACTGCCTAGGCCCAGGGCCCTGGAGTGCAATCACTAAGTCCTCCCTAACAAACTTTCTTGACAGTGTTTGTTTCTTAACCTTTCCTCCTCTCAAGCCAACTCATCTAATCCCATGTAAATAAAGATTCCAAGAACTCATTTTTTGTTTTTTTTAGGTTTTGATCCATAGGGACTTAACTTGGTATCAATGAATCTACTGCTCAACTTACAGAGTTGTAGGGATTGAATGCTATAATAGATCAACACCGTTTGAATAAAACATGGTCAGGAAGTGGTTGTAGTTGTGGGAGACACTGTAAGCAACCATTGTCCTTAGGACCCTGGGCCTTTGTAGGCACCCTGAGCTCTGGCTGCATCTTTTAGAGGCCTTTGTGTGCAGGAGGTACAGAAAAAGAGATTTAACTGCCAAACCCAGTTTATTAGCTGCCAACGCTGACGCCAACATAATTGAGTGATTCCTGTCTGCCTTAAGAGAGTACCAAAAAAGTGACCACACTCTCCAGCTTCCAGCTCATAGCCATGCTCATACTGAGAGGTAACAAGCCAATGGGGGTGGTTTTTGGCAGAGGACAGGCCTGCTTGAAGGTGCAACAGCCCCAGAGAGTAAGACTGGTGCACAGGATAGAGGGAGTTCAGGATAACCATGAAAGGAGAAGGTAAAGGAGGGGAAACAAGTCTGGAGGGGTAGGCAGAGCCAGGTTAGGAGATGCCACCATCTTAATGATTTGGGACTCAAACTTGAGGGCAACGTGGAACCCCTGGGGTGCTTCTATCAAGAGAGTGATCTGGGAGCAGGAGACCACACAGAAGGCCATCTTGGTACCCAGGCAAGAGACAAAGGTGGCTGGATAGGGATGATAACCTCAGGAAATGGATTCATTGGAGAAATAGTAGATCTGTTAAATGAGATTTGGTGATGGAATGAATGTGACCAGTGAAAGAAGAAGGAAAGACTGGAAGACTAGGTGGTTGGGAAGGTTTCGAGAAGAGACTATGTTTTTAAGGACGGAGAGGATCCCCTTGGCTTGGGGGACACGTTTGTTGAAGCTGGGAGGTGGGAATGACCAGCATGGGCCGGGGGCCGGGGAAGATACCCATGGTTGGTAGAACAGCAAGTGCAAGGGATGAGCAGGTAGAAAAATGTGGGACCTGATTGCAGGACTCTGAGATTCCAGCTCCTAGAGGAGTTAGGGTTTTAGTCAACAGTGAAGGGAGAACTATGGAAAATTTCGGGCATGAGGGGACCAACTATTTTGTTTTTTTTTTTTTTTTTTTTTTTTTTTGGTTTTTCTCCGGTACCAGGAACCGAACTCACGACCTTGCGCTTGCCAGGCAAGCGCTTTTGCCGCTGAGCTAAATCCCCAGCCCCGGGACCAACTATTTTGAAAAGGTTGGGTTTGTAGGGTGCTCTAGAAGAAGTAGGAAGCTTGGTAGGTAGCAATTAATCTTGGCTGAAAACTTGACAGAGGGAAAGGGTTTCAATCAGAACAGCTCTCAGGTCCTGCATCTTTACTCAGTCCAGACACTGTGCTGAGTTCATCCTCACATGACCCTAAGGTATAGATAGTCTTCTCCCGCCCCATCATATGGTTGAAGGAGGCAAGGCTCAGAAAAGCCCAGTGACATGCCCAAGCTTATGCATGGGGAGACGAGCCTGGAACCCGTGAGCACACGACCCCTCAGCCTTTGGTCTGGTGCGCCTCCTTGTAGGAGTCCTTTAGGATTTAAGTGGAGAAGACAGAATCCCAGGGGAGCAGAATTAAAGGAATGGGATGAAAAGTCAGATAAAAAATACAATGCCAAGAATGTGTGTTCCTGGCTTAATTCTGTCCCTTTTCCTTCCTCCAGGGTTGCTGAGCCTGCTAGGGAGCCCATTGTTGATGAAGATGATGATGTGGCTGAAGAAAGAAAAAGAATTACTAGTGGGGGAAATAAAACTGATATCCTAAAGCTAAATGAACTAACCAAGGTAAGGGACAGGTGTAGGTGTATTGGTTTGGAGGTGCTATTTGGACCCACATGGCATAGTGTAGAATGAGTGGGTCCCTTATGCCAGGACTGTGATTTCCTAATGTCACCATATGGAGTCATCATTTCTGTGTTGTAACTTCTCTTCCAAGGGCATCTAGTTCCCATGCCTTGTCACGCCATCCATCTGAGCATCGCCAAACTTTCTCCATTCTATTTCTGCACTGCACGGGTCATCCACAGATTTTTCAGGGCTCACAGCCCATCTCTTAATACCACATCAGTATGGAACCTCCCAGCGCTGGTGGCTCTCCCAAACCACCCTCTGCGCACTTCTTCCTTTTCCTCTCCCTGCTCTAACGCTGCGTTGGTCCTCACCCCACTTTATCTGGATCTTGCAGGTCTATTCAGGCTCCTCCAGCCCAGCAGTGGACAGGCTATGTGTCGGGGTCCGCCCTGGAGAGGTAGGAACTCTGCAGACTAGTACGAAAGGGCTTCAGAAAATCAGCTTTTATGAAGAACTCTTCTCTCCTATGAAGCAAGGCTACCCAACAGGAATCTAACGCAAGCCACATACAGAAATGTATATTTTAACCAATATATCTCAAATATTATCATTTCCTTTTGTAATGAATATAACACCTTGTTAATGAGGTATTTTGCATTCTTTGCTGTTATTCTCAGTCTTCAAGCTTCACCTAATGCCCATATCAGTTGGGCCTAGATGCGCTTTGTATCAGTACACACATGGAGCTAGCAGCCTCTGTAATGCAGCCCGGGTCTGAGGTGCCTCTCCCAGCCCTGCAGTCTGACATTCCATACCTTCTTGGTCTCTAGGGAAAGACTCGTTCTGTGTTTCCTTCTAGTGCTTTGGCCTACTTGGAGTGAATGGAGCCGGCAAAACAACCACATTCAAAATGCTCACTGGGGATACCACAGTGACCTCAGGTGATGCCACTGTTGCAGGCAAGAGGTAAGTGCCTGCCCTTCCTGCCTTAGGGTATCTGTCACAGGTCCTGGTCCTTGTCCCTCTTCCAGTGTAGGGAGAGTAATCTTCAGACCCTACATGAGAGTGACTCACAGACCCAAATGATCTGTGTAGAGGAGGGAGATTGCCAAACAGCATGGTCCAAAAAGTACAAGACATGGACCCACTGGAAAAACGAATTTGACTATGACCATTACAGAAGTGCTGTTAACCTGAGATGTTGGCAAGTTCTGGGGAGCTCTAAGCCACTAGTTCTTCATTTCTCTGGGGTCATAAACTCCTTTGAGCATCCGATAAAACTTGTGCTCTCTTCCTGTGTAGGAACACACCATTGCTTCCCTACACACAATTCTACAAAAAGTTTCAGGGAACTTCTAAGCCCTGAAGCACTTGTGATTATGCTGGGGCACCTGGGTGCCAGGTTAAGAACACCTTCCTCCAGGCTGTTTGTAAATGGGGCCTAATTTAAGGGCCCTGATGGGGCCTTAATCTGCATTGGTTTTTTTGTGTGCTGATGCTTGGCTTTGTCAGATCAAGGAGCACAAAGGGAAAACGGGCCTGTGCCCTTGGCTTCTGGAGGGTGACTGCTGTCCGCTGTAATACAGTAAGTTTAAATAGACTGGTCTTCTGTGAGGCAGAAAAGAGAGGATGAGCTCTCGCTTGTTTGCCTCGTTGCTGCATGCTCCTTGAATAGCAAAGTTTACACACAGTAAGTCTGCCCACAGGGACCTGTTCTGGTTTATGAGTGGAGACAAGCACTGCTCATACGTGCTTGACTAAGGCCTCTTTCCTTTACCGGAAAACCATCTTCACCATACCTTGGTGCTCAGCAGGCAGGAGGAATCCTGAGCATACCTCAAGTGGCTCAGAAAGGGTGAATTTAGCTTCCCAGCCTTCCATGACCACCCCTGTTGGGTCTGTGGCAAAAGAACTGGCGGAGTAGAGCCAAATCATGCCGGGTCTATCTCATCTGCTGATCTAGCTTAACTGACAACTATGCAGGTAAGCAAAGGAGTTATGGAGAGAGAGGGTCAGAGGAAGGATATAATAAGAACTTACCAGGTGACATCAAGTTTTGGTGGAAGTGAGATATAGGCTGATGTCCAGAAGGTAAAACTGAGCTGAAAGCTAGAAAGAAACCATAGGTTACAGACTGAGATTCTCTTACAGGCTAGTTCTGTGTATTTCTCAAAGGGCTAACTGTTCTTACTTTCCTGGGTGGTTTTAATTACCCCAGCCAGATTTTTTATGGCTTTTGTCACAGAGAGAAACTGCAATGACTTCTCTCTGTCCCACCCTAGTTTATCCATTTTTTAATTTGTAGACCCTCATCTATAACAAAAAAGGGGTAGTATTAGGCCAGATAATCTATGTATAGTTTATGTTTTATCAAAGTCAATGTATTTTTCGTTAAGTCAGAGTATCTCTAGTGGGGGTAAATTCATTAGTCAAAGGGAGTGATAGACCCCCATTCACTTTATCTCTGCTCCCTGCTGGCCTCTTGCTCTGGTAGGTATCTTATTGTTCCTCTTTCATTGACTGAATATCTGCCAAAAAACACATATGGAAAAATGTACTTTCATCAGAAGGCATCTATAGTTTATAGCATCTTCCCAAATGTCTGAAAGGGATTTAAAACCATGGATCAGTTTCTTAAACCTGATCTTCTCTTTGTTTTAAAACTCACAAGGGAAGAGATCCAATTCAAGCCAAAGTTGACTTGTGAGGAATAAGTATTCAGCTAATTTTAGACACTGGAAATTTAAAGGCTCTGGCTAAATTCAAAGCTAGAATCCTGATGCTCATGTCTCTAACCAAAGACTCTCTGCTTCACTTTCCAAAAGTGGTGTGTATTTCTAAAGCAAAGTGGGAAAGGACAGAGGCAGCTTCCTTATTCCAATGGGAGAAATCTCTCCAGTCACAGCTCTCTAGTCACTCCCTCTATGAAGGAAACTCACCAATTACTTTTTTTTCTTGCAGTATTTTAACCGATATTTCTGATGTTCATCAAAGAATGGGCTACTGTCCTCAGTTTGATGCAATAGATGACCTGCTCACAGGCCGAGAACATCTTTACCTTTATGCCCGGCTTCGGGGTGTTCCAGCAGCAGAAATTGAAAGGGTAAAACAATGATTTGTTGTAGTTGCTTAAGAGTTTGATAAATCATAAGCCTGCTTCCTGAATGTGTTCATTTAGATGCGGGAAACTACAACAGCACACAGTCAGCTCATTCATTCTAACAAATGCACAGTAGCATCTACTGCGTACCAAGTGCTGTTCTAGAAGCCAGGGATATAGCAGTGAATAAACCAGGCAAAAAAGTAAATTCCTGTCCTCATCTCTAAAAAGATGATGTATAGCACTATCTTTTAACACAGTAATCACACTTCCAGGAATTTAACCTGAAGATGCTCATTCCAAGTTTAAGACATGGATACACACAAAGTTATTCATTGCATTGTAACTGCAAAATCCTGCATATTATCCTGGATAGTAAATTGGTTGAGTGATTTATGGTATGTATATGCAATAAAATTTTATGCAGCCATAAGTATAAGAAATACCTCTGTGAGCTGATATAGAGTTATTTCCAACATTGTTAAATTTTTTTAAAAGTTCAAAAGAGAGCATGTAGAATGCTACATTTTATGTGGAAAAGTAGGAAAAATATGAAATCATGCATATATCTGCTTACCTTTATGAATAGAACATAAGAAGGATAAACCAGAAAATAGTGAATTTAGTAATGAATAAGAGGGAATTGGAATAAAAGAAAATTTGGAGAATAACATTTCTCTGAGGGTATCTTTTTATTTTTATTTTTTATTTAACTTTTCTTTTTTTTGGTCTGTTTGAGACAAGGTCTCGCTATGCAGTTCAGGCTAGCCTTGAGCTCACTTTGTAGCCCAGGTTGTCCTCAAACTTGCAGCAATCCTCCTGCCTCAGCCTCCCAAGTGCTGGAATTACAGGCTTGTGCCACTACACCCAGCTTCTGGGGGTATCTTTTTATATAGTGTTAATTTTGGAAACATGTTAATGTTCTACATAGTCAAAAATAAAACATCAATAAGAATGAAAAGGGGGTAAAAATAAAAACAAAAGAAAAACCTAACACTGAATATAAACTGAAACAAACTCAGTTTTGTTTCAAATAGGTATCATAATCATACAGAGGGGGGAAGCATTAGATTTGGAGATATCACCATGAATTCATGAAATACTTATATGCATATGTTGTGTATGCATATAAATGTGCTAATGTGTACTGTGCATATGCATGCATATGTATGTGCATTTTTATGTGTATATCTGTCCTTTGAAAGGAACAAGAAGCAAAAATATCCCATTAGCAACATTCATACCTACTGCCCAGAATTTAGTCTCTGTATCATTCCCCATTACAGGGAAATATAATTCTTTACGTAAGTGACAAATTCCAAGGTTAGAACATCTATTGTGCCAGAAAGTAAGTCCTTTTAGTGAATGATGAGGCATGTCATAAGAACCTAAGAGACATCTTGAAGGGGCTCCCATTGGCAAAACAGGGAATAATTTGAATATCAAAACACTTAAATATGATGATAGGTGACAAAACTTTTCCTATTAGAGGAAAGTAGGAATTTATAAGTCCATACTGTTAAATAGATAAGTAGGAGAGAAGGGCTTGCTTGCACTCAAGTGCTGAGAGCCAAATAATTACTGTGAAGGAGTTCCGAAATTGAAAAATCACTTTGTAATGACCATACAAAGACTGGATTGCACAAAAATCCTTAAAGGATAATAAACGAAGGGGAAATTTTTGATGAGGAGCAAGATATTTTATGGCTTTTAAAAGAACACCTTCACAAATTGCTTCTTGGTTGCAAGAGGGAGACAAATTTACAATGGAAAAATTAGACAACATCTTAACGGAGTAGTTAAAATTATTGTCATCTGTAAGAGCAAGTGGACATCTCATGTCCCCAGACATGTTACGTTTTGAAGACACAATTTCACACGTATAGAATGCTGGCTGAAAATGTGTAACCTGAATCTTATCAGGAGGAAACATCAAACTCCAAAGAAGGAACATTCTGTTTAAAAAAATAAAAAACGAGGGCCTATATTCTTTAAAACTACCAAAGTCATAAAGACAAAGAGCAAACCATGAAAATGTTTCTGATCACAGGAGACTAAACAAACATAATGGCTGAATAACAGACGGTGGTCTGAATCTTTGTGCTGAAGGGAAAAAATGATATGAAGGGCATTATTGGGCCAATTCACAAAACTGAACTCTGAACAGTAAAGCAGTGCAATTTTAAATTGACCATCGCTGATAACTGAAACGGGATTGTGTAAGAGCATACGGAATTACTGTTTTGGGAAATATGCACTGAGGTATTTGAAAGGTACAGGCCATGACTTACTCTCAGAAGTAGTAGAAAAAAACTGAGGGAGGGCATATTCTTTTCTTTTATTCTTTGCATTATTTTTATTCTTAAACATTCTTCTAAGAAGAATGGGAATTGGGAAGCTGTGTCCCAACCAAAAGTTTAAAATGGAGTTTATATTCTAGTGGAAGGGACACACAATAGATATATAAGAAAAAAATCCGGTGTTAGAGTGTGTAAAGGCCTGAGGGGAAGAACTAAGCTGGGAAGAATTGTTGGGCTGGCATTTGCACTGTTAGGTAGCAAGGAAAGCCTCACAGAAGAGGCGACTTGGGAATGAAAACCTAAATGAAGCAAGTAAGCCATGTAGATATCTAGGGGGTGAACATTCTAGGCAGTGTACAACTGCAGACGGCAAGTCTCAGGGAAGCACCTCCAGGGACCTGCTAGTTTCTTCTGTGTGTGAGTGTGCATGCACATAACCCTCACCCCTCCACTATTCTCTATCACAGTTCCCTGTCAAGTTCCCTCAAAGCACTGTTACTCTCTGTCATTTTACTTATTTCTATCGTCTGTCATCCCACTGGTGTATACAGAGGCAATGGCCTCATACAGTGCATGGCTCAGAGTAGGTGCATGGAGTGCCCAAGAGTTTACATGTGCCTCTGCCCAAGTCTCGACCCTTCAGCTTCTCAAGGAGACCCTCAAACTCTTCCTCTTCCACTCTTAGCCATATCCCAGGAACTGGATGAGAAAGGCTGACTTGCCATTTGTAAGGCTGAAGGCCATTTCCCAGGGGGCTGCACTCAATGGGTGCTGAGCTGAGTAGGCCACACTGTAACAAAAGTATAGAGTGGAGAGGAGACTGGTGCTGAAGCGTGTACCAGAGGACAAGAGCCAGTGGGTGGCTCTGCTTTAGCCTAACTGGACCTGTCATCCTGAAGGGGTGAGAGCTGGGAATCCACAGCTTTGAATAGTGGAGGTCTGTGGTGTTGGCTTCTTCATCTTTGCCAAATGGGATCTCTTTCTCTTCCCTAGGTTGCAAACTGGGGTATTCAGAGCCTGGGACTGTCTCTGTATGCCGACCGCCTGGCGGGCACCTACAGCGGTGGCAACAAGCGGAAACTCTCCACGGCCATAGCGCTCATTGGCTGCCCACCGCTGATGCTGCTGGTGAGGGCACTGCAAACTTCAGGGACAACCCGCCCTAAAAGCTCACCCATGTCTGCCTCTCTGGGTTCAGGACAATATGTTCTGGGTCAGCAGCTTTAGAAAGTGCAGCAGTTTGCTTTGGTCTGGATTGCTCCCTGTATGACTCTTTGAGCAAATTAGCCCAGTGTTAGATGCACCATTCTTGAGGGAAACAAGTCACAGCAAGGTCTGTGAGTCCCTGGAGAGTCTCCTGGGGGTTCACAAGCTCACCAAGGGGAAGCTCACCCTACTTTGGGGAACTCCAATATTAGTACGACCTGAGGAGGACTGTGTGGGGTCCAAAGTGGACAGAAACATTGGCCTGGATCAAAGGCTACAGTGACCTAAGCTGGACCAGGTTCCTTCCCCATGGGGACCAGGCCCCTTCCTTTCCCATGAAGTTGGAGGCTTATATAAGCAAGTGTCACATAAAGCTACCTGGGTTTTCTCCCTGCCTCCCAACCAATATGTACTTGAGGGTTTTTTGTTTGTTTCCTTTTTAAGGATAATTCTACCATTGCCTTCATCAGCCTTAATCCACTCACAGGCTGAAATTAATCTGAAGGTGTGCACTGTTTCTTTATTCTGATTTACCTCCTCCCTATCTTGTCCAGCTATGTACTGTACCTGTGGGTCAGATTATTCTTCTTAGAGACCAGAGCTGCTCAGAGGGTGTCAGCCCAGGGAGGATGTACTGACTAAAAATGGCCACCTCCAAGCCCACCCCCCAACTCTTTCCCACCCCACAGGATGAGCCCACCACAGGGATGGACCCCCAGGCACGCCGCATGCTGTGGAACACTATTGTGAGCCTCATCAGAGAAGGAAGAGCTGTGGTCCTCACTTCCCACAGGCAAGGGATGCCCAGGGTGGGGACAGCGGATGGGAGTTCCTCCCCACTGCCTCACCTCCTCTCTCCTGCCCCACAGCATGGAAGAATGTGAGGCACTGTGTACCCGGCTGGCCATCATGGTGAAGGGTGCCTTTCAGTGCCTGGGTACCATTCAGCACCTCAAGTACAAGTAAGCAGAAGGAGGGGGCACACCCTTCGCTGTCTCCTGTCTTCACTGTCACACTTATTAAAAGCCCAGAATATAAATTAGGCTATTTGGTGGAAGGGACACCACAGAATTCACCTTATCTATGCTGAGATGCTTAATTTTGATGGTCCATAGTATATTGCAGAGAAAACACCATTCTTCACCTGCACCAGGGAAGATAAATGATTGAGAAAAAGTTCTAATAGATTAGCTATATTTGGCAGTTGGGCATTTGACCCTGATTTCTTGAGAAACTGGAGCTTGGAGATGACACAGTCTATGGGAACATCAGCAGGTGATATCACCAGACTTGTGTCAACTACTCCTGATGCCCACCTGCAGGAGGATGTTCCCCTGTCCTTTCCTCTCATTCCTCAATTATCTCTATGATAGAGAAGGTGAGGAAGTATGTCCCTGTATAGAAGGATGGTCAGTTTCCTGGAGCTGAAAGTGAAAGGGGCCTTACTGGAGAGAAGAGCTCTAGATCATGAAGGAGACTTTTTGAACCCATGACCATGTCCATGCTAGGCAAGTGCTCTATGCCTGAACTACAATCCAGCCCTATGGGAGGAGCACTGCAGTAAGTTATACATGACACATGACACCCTGACAGCCATGTGTGGTCACCAGCTGACCATGCGCAGCCTCTGATGGACCATCCATCTTCCACATGAGAGTTACCAGCAAATCTGGTGAAGGGAGGAGGGAAGCACTAGAGCCCTGGCCCTGATAGCCCCATTTGCTTCTGGAAGCTTCCACAGTGAAATGCTGTTTTACCAAGCCTTTGCTGTGCCCTGGCCAGTCACAGGAAGGCCAGTTAGCTCTTGGCACACTCAGTCTGCACTGGCCATGCATCTTCATAGGTGGAGCTGGGATCTCCACAAGGGGCTACAACCACCCTAATTTCATCAAATATATCTGTCCCACTTTACCACAGACACTTAGACCTCTAAAAACTGGGACCAAACATTTTCTCCAAAGACTATCACATTTTTTCCCCTAGTCTTCAGCATGCACACATGGTCAATGGGATGGACCTTTAATTCCCAGTATGCCTGATGATTCTAGTCACTATCTGAGATTGCCTGAGACCTCCAATTTGCAGACCTGTACTACCCTGTGCACCCCTAGGTTTGGAGATGGCTACATTGTCACAATGAAAATCAAGTCCCCAAAGGACGACCTCCTCCCTGACCTAAACCTAGTGGAGCAGTTCTTCCAAGGGAACTTTCCAGGCAGTGTGCAGCGGGAGAGGCACTACAACATGCTCCAGTTCCAGGTCTCCTCCTCCTCCCTGGCCAGGATCTTCCAGCTGCTCATCTCCCACAAGGACAGCCTGCTCATCGAGGAGTACTCGGTCACACAGACCACGCTGGACCAGGCAAGTCCATCCCAGGCCCCAGTGCAGAGCAGGAGGCACAGCAGCTGCACCAGAATGGCCAGTGGGGCACGACTGACACCAGAAGCAGGAATGACAGTCTTGATTTTTCACACTCTGCAGTCTTGTCCCTCTGTCCATTAGGATAAAGCCTGGTACATCACAAATTGTATTCTAATGATGTTTTAGTAATCAGCAGACTATTTTTTATATCATTACCCACTTACATGTTACTTCATTCTTGTTGGTTTGTGGTGGTGCCTTCTTTTCTTTTCAAATCAACTTTATTAATGCATAATTTATATACAGTAGTCATGCCTATTTTAACTGTTCAGTTTGATGAGTTTTGGTAACCATGTGTATCATGTATATTTTTAATGCAAATATATAAAATTTACCATCCTAACCCCTCTTAAGCGTATTAGTTTAGGGGTGTTGATGGCACTCACAATGTTGCCACCATCTGTCTCTAGAACTCTTCATTTTGCAAAAGTGATACTGTGTCTGTTAGACAGCTACATCCCATTTTCCATTTTCTTCTCCTCACCCACCCCAGCCTCTGGCAGCCACCATTATATTCTCTGTCTCTGTGAAACTAACTATTCTGGGTACCTCATAGAAGTGGAATCCTTTATTTGTTGTTTTGTGACTGGCTTATTTCACTTAACATAATGTCCTCAAGTCTTCATCCATAGCATAGCATGTGTGAGGATTTGCTTCCTTTATAAGGCTGAATAATATTCCATTGCATGTGTATGTCATATTTTGCTTATCCATCCATTCATTCATCAATGGACATTTGGGTTTTTTCTAAAGGAGGTCTTTTATTTAATGTATTCTTTTTTTTTTTTTTTTTTTTTTTTTCAAAAACATCCTTAAAGACAGTTCAATAAAGCAGTAGAGGGCTGGGGATTTAGCTCAGCAGCAAAAGCGCCTGCCTGGCATGCGCAAGGTTGTGAGTTTGGTTCCCGGTACCGGAGAAAAACCGAAAAAAAAAAAAAAAAAAAAGAAAGCAGTAGAAACAGGCAAGTCTCCCTCTACTCCTTGAGGAGCTGGCTCACCTGCACCTTCTTTTTTTTATTAGTGTATGTTTGCAGTACTGAATACTTACATTCATTTTGGGGAGCTGATATATATATATATTCTTGATCATTTTCAATCCCTTTATCTCCTCTCCCCTTGGCCCTTTTTCCTTTTCCAAAAGGTCTGATTCCCTGTTTCTTACAATCTCTCCTTTATTTTACTCTTTAATTATTTTTTGTTTCTCATATAAGAAACATATGATGGCTAGCTTTCTGTGTCTGGCTTATTTCCCTCATCACTGTTCATCTGCGATTTTGTGCCAGCCTGAAGCAGGCGAAGGACACACTGGACTCCCTAGGCAGGAATTGTGGCCACAGAGCACACTGAATGAGGAACAGAAAAGAGATCAAATACCTTTTTTCTCCCTCTTTTTTGGATGGTGTTAGCTGAATCCCCCTTGCCTTGTTCACCCCAGCGTCTTGTGTCCAAAGGCCTGTGACTCCTCCAGCAGGAACTCCTTTGGCTTAGCTGGAGAGTCTAAGCAGCAAGCCGCGCCCAGGCACTGGGGTTTGGGTAGGCTTTCTCCCCTGGGCAGGACACAACCTACCCCAATAAGACTGTACACTGACTGGGAAGAAACAGAGCCAAATGGGTAGGTGGGTGTAGAGAGCTGTTTTTCGGGAGAGATCAGTTTACTCTTGCTCTTTTCCCTCCAGGTATTTGTGAACTTTGCTAAACAGCAGACTGAAATTCATGACCTCCCTCTGCACCCTCGAGCTGCTGGAGCCAGACAGCAATCCAAGGTAGCCACTACCCTTTCACAGTGCACTGGTGGAGGCAGACGCTTGCCTCTGGGGCCCGGCTGGGCCACTGCACCTGTGGTACCCCACGGTTTGGACTTGCACCACATCACCAGTTGTATTCTGTGTCACCACTCCGTTGGTTCTGTGTTAAAGGATTTATGGGCAAGTGGTTATATAGGTCTTGATATAACCTGGAAACCATTCAGGTGGTATGGGAGGGCATTTTTGAAAAGAACATTCCCATGTATTTTGCTTATAGAAAAAAAAAACTGGTATTTTAGAAATAAGAAGCAGGAAGGTAGGGGAGATATTGGAATACTTGACACCTGTGTTTGGTCATAACTTTGCATTTCAAAGGAAAGGAATTAACTGACACACTCTTTCAATGGAGACATAATTCGGTTAGAGCAAGAGTTACTGACTTTTTAGGAAAGGGGCTCTTTGTTGTCTGTGAAAGCATCAAGATGATGGAGGAGGAAAAATAGAAGGTCTAGGTTCTCGGCTATTCTCTCCTGCCTTTCCTAGAGAGTCAATTAAATCAAAGCAAAGCATTTTTCCAAATAGCACAGATATGCAAAATCCTATTTTCCATGGAGTTGTCATTCCTCACAATCAACTTATTGATTGCAAGAAAAAATCAAATGTATTTGATGACTGAAATAGTCTTCCCCAAAACTGTGCTTGTAATGAATGCTCCCACTTCCTCCTGACCAATAAAGACCTTGTGGCCACTTGGCAGTGTGGGGGCTCAGGAATGCCAAGTTAAGACATCCGTCTGAGGAAGGTTAGTTTTGCGGATTTTCCAGCCACAGTTTCTCATTTTATAGATCTTGTACTTGCTGTTAATACCAGCAGAAAATTATTCCTTGATAGCCTTTTGCAGTTCTGAATCCTTTTTATAGCACAGAATACAGTTAGGTATCGAGATTGTTTCCCAGAACTACCAATCCACTCAAATATACCTGGCATATTTCTTCTTAGAGGGCTAATACCTTTGGATCAGGCCAGGGTATTGAAGGTCTGTGATCTACAGCAATTAATTCCACAATTTTTCCTCTTATTAGCTGTAGTTTTTCTACTGCATTTGAATTATATTGGTCACAAATGCATTTGTTAAATTGGTATATATTTATGCTGAATTTTAAGTTCAAAGCCTGACTCTACTGACTTCACAAAGGTTTGCAGGCATTCTTTGTGCAGCAAAGTCTGTCATGAAACAGATAGTAACTACATTCATTTTTACATTATAGCACTTTGAAATAATTTTTCTTAAAATATCCTGTGGACAAGAAAAGAGTAATTTGTCTCAAGGAGTTCTAGGGAACATGAACAACTTGCTTCTGAGCAAACATAGAGCTCCTTCTGAAGTTCAGCAGGCTCATGGCCTCACAGCCCCAGGATCTGAGCAAAGACTACACAAACGTCTCACTATCTAGAGATCTACTTAGGATCCTTGCCCCACCTCAAAATATGTTTAACCCCTAAATACTACGTTAGTCATCTTTTAAGAGGATGTGACTTTTAAACCAGATATCTGGGAAAACAGCATTTTATTAGACTGGGAAGGCCTACCTCTGACTCCCCACTTCCCACACTCCCTCACTCCCACAGCTGGGATTGGTCCAAGAATTCACAAGCAGTTTATAACTGGAGACAGCATCTCTCCAGTTAGAAAGGTCACCTTGGTGTCTACTGCTCAAGGAGCATGGACTTAGTGCCCAAGTTTGGTCTGGAGCCTGCTTTCCTGAATTCTAGCTCACATTTCTTCCCATCTTCCAGCCCCTAGTCAAGTGTACATGCTTCCTAGGAACCACCACTGTAGGAAGGGGACTGAGATAATTCAGAACTCAAGCCTGACATAAATTGATTTCTTGGCTTTTAAGACAACAAGAGCATTGTAACTTTCTGGGGTTTAAAAAAAAAAAAAAACATTAACTAAACAAGTCCATAATAGCCTTTGGAAAGAACACTGAGGATACAGAGCCCCTCTGAGATGTAAGCATGTATGCACACAGGGGTGTGCGTCTCCATAGTGAGCATCAGGATCACAGAGCCCAGGCTCCTGAGCGATCATGGTCTGACCATTTCACAGATAGGGAAACAAACCCGGCCCATAAGCTTGTGATCTGACAGAATCACAATGTGCTCAGCTGAGCTTCCTCCAGAGATTGCTGTTTAACTGTTAAAATCTAAAAGCAGTCACATCCATCTCTTCAGAAAACCAAGATGATGAGAGTCCATCTGATCTCCTTCTGCAGGTCTGACCTCAGCCACACTACTCGTTCTCTACATCTGGAAAGGAACTGTGGGCAGCTAGCGCACAGGAGCCTCTGTCCATAGAGTCATCTGAACCACGGACCAGCACAAGTGATCCTGCCTCAGCAGGAAACGAACACATGAGGTCATCAGTGAGCTTAGGAGGAGGCTCCCTCAGAAGGAAACCCACGCTGACTGATTCACCTGGACAACATGACAGTGACACTGACCCAGACAAACAAATGCAACAATCTTTGCATCCACACCAGAGAAGAACTCCAAGTTGAGCGCAGATATTGATTTGGCCTCAATATCACTGTCATTTCAAAAGGCTTGTGTTAAGGGTAGGGAGCTAGGGGTTATTTTCAAGAGGAAATAAAATGCAAACGCTCATCACAATCTGCCCTATTCACTGATCCCCCTGGTATAGTTTTAGACACTCTCTGCAAGTGTGTGCAGTCCCCTGTCATCACCACAGGAATGGAATCATGGAAAGATTCTGCAGCACTCAGGCAGAAGTAAATAGTCCTGGGGTTGCTTGTCAAGTCTTTATATGGTATGAAGAATACACAAAATAGGTGATACATGTAAACAATATCCTCTGTCTGTGGGAATTAGTTGAATCTCTGTTCCACTCCTGTTTGCCAAGCTTATCTGAGTGTGTACCTCACAGGTATAATTAGATCAGGAGACAAAGAGGGATAGAAAGGTGGAAGCGGATTGTTGGTTGGTTGTGAGAACAAACATGTCTTTGTAAATGTGTAAAGAAGACAAGGCCTCATTCATATAGTGCTGCACCACCACCGCCGGGCTGAGTGCATCTTCTACAGTAGTACAAAGGGAACGGCTCACTGGCTCTCTAGGAGGCCACATGAAAGCTCATCAAGGATTAGAAAATAATATTCTTACACTGTTTCAAGAGTCTTGGGATGAGAAAAGCAAATGGATTTCTTTACCAAAGCATCTTACCTCCACTACTTACAGATGGACTTCATAGAGAAAACCCTTTCTAAAGCAGAGCTGCTAACTGCACATCATACTGTGGTTATTTTCCAGAGTTCTGGAGGGAGAGGGGAGAGAAGGGAAGAGAAAGATGCTGAGGCCCAGGAACTGCTACCTAGAAGGGCAGAGCAAAGTGAGCACAAGTTGGTAAAGCCTGTAGCTGGGCTTCTCCCAGCAAAGGAGAAGATAGAGGGCAGAGGACTACACAACTAATCCTGCATCGCTGCTGGCTTTCTGCTTTGCTCTTAGTAGATACTAAGATAATAATTGCCCAAAAGATTATAAATGTACTTTTGTAGACCCATACCTTAATATTGTCTTAACATTTTGAAAAATCTGTTAATGACACAAACCAAAAAATCATTTTAACCTGGGTCAGAATACAGGTTGGGAAAGCCCAGGAGGATGTTGTTGAAACTTACTGTTGCATCCAGACTGGTTATAACATTTAAATTAGCAACTGCAATATCTCAGGAAAGACTAAGCCAGAAGAGGGGATAAACAGCCAGCCTTTCACAATGTGAGGGTTTCAGAAAGGCATTGTGTACTGGGAAAAGTTGGTTACAGATAAAATCCATCCTCTACCTTGAGAGCAAATCTCAGTTTACCTTGTATCTCCACTCTACCTGATGTCTCCAAGGGCAAGGATTTATGTTTGTTTTCTTCAGCTCCCAGGACACAGAAGACACTCAGCAAACACTTGCCAATCTGGGAAACCATCAAATTATAAAAATGGAAAAGAAGTAAGGCTAAGAAAGTAGGACCCCCCCAAAAAAAAAACACCAAAGATTGAGCAACAGGGATGCTATGCTTTTCAAAATACCAGTGACAAAATATAAGCAATAAAAAGCCTAGGAGGAGTTGACGAAACCACAGTGCTTGGGTATGAGGAATAGTCCTTTTAGAAGTTTGGCCCAGATCTCTAGCAGATGTGTTACTCTACTGAAACATTCCCCCGGTCTGGGTTAAAAGGAGATTAGTAAAAGAGGAGGAAGAAGAAATACAGTAATTTCAGACAGCAAGACCACTAAGGAGATGTTTCAGGTGTATGAGTTGCTGTCGGATTTTCAAAGCTTTTGATTCTTTGGGGAGCTCAAGATCTTGGAATAGCTCAGACGAAAATGTTACCAAGGAATAACCTAAATAAACCGTCTAGTTTCATTTGATTTTAACTGACTTAAAAATACTAATTTTGGAGGTCACACAGCTAAGCAATGCATTATTAGGCTCCCACTAGCTTTGCTGTAGGTAACACCTCTACCATGTGCGTTAGGGCAACTGCAGCTGCCTGGGTTACTTTACAGATGCTGGAAGGCCACTTTTTCTGAAAACACTGACTCTTCACTTGGGCCTGCAGATGTCCAATAGGTGACATGAAAAAGATGAAAAGGCTTGGCATCTCTGTCTTTATATTGTGTCTGTCTCACTTGTGCCCTTAACTTTTGGGTCAAATTCTACTCGGTATTGTCTGTAGATGTGTTAATCATTTCCAGAAATGTTTTGTCCAGCACTATAATATGGGGCTAACTGGTCCTTGACTTGCCTAATCTCTCTTCCCCATCTCAAGGCTAAAGACACCTCCCAGCCTCTATGATGGGGAACACCATACCATAACAGGAGCCAAAAGGGTGGCACCATCATTTTTTGAAGATTTCCATCTATTTCCCCCAAATTCATGAATATTCCTCCTTTTATTAGCCTTTCTCCTTCACCATTTTCCAGTGCTCTACCTGTAACACCTGGGGGTGAGAAGCTGCATCCCAGCACAACTCTCACTTCTCCACTTTTCTGCCACCAAATAAAGCTTTCTTCTCTCATCACTTTGTCTCTTGAGTCATTGGCTTTTTCAAGTGAAAACAGAATTAGACCTTTTCTTGATTTCAACAAGAATTCTTTTGCTGTGAATAAAAACAGAAAGCCTGGTTTGTACCTGCCACTATGGTTCATCTAAAGAGAGAGGAAGGAAAGGTTGGGATGTTGTCTTGGTTACTTTTTTCTCACCCCTGGGACAAAATACCTGATGCCCAAAATTAAGGAAGGAAAGGTTTATTTTGCTTACAGTTCGTGGAGGTTTCAGTCCGTACTTGGCAGATTATAAGGCAGAGTGGCACATGGCAGAAGGCTATAGCTCATGGCGACAGAACACAGCAAAGCAACAAAAACCCACCAGGGTGGAATGGGGGAGGAATGGCCTCAAGCACTCTCTTCCTCTCCCTTACATATGCAAACTATCCACCCCAGGGCGGGTGCATCTCTCACACCCTTAATCAAACTCTAAAAGCCTGACCCATGGCCGCATGAGGCTTTGAGGGGACACACAGACATAAACCATAACAGATATGAAGCTCTGGGCTTGGAGGAAAGGATCTCTGTGATGGTCGAGGGACTTTTACTGCAGCCCCTAAGGATGCAATGCTGCCCCAGCAGGCCCATGGATAATGGACAGAAGAAGATATTTCACCTAGAAACACGGCAGCATTTACCTTGAAGGACAGCTGTTTCAGACTCCAAAAGCTGACTGAAGCCCCTAAGCCCAGATTCCTGGGGGTTTGGCTCTGTGTAGTGACTCAGTGCTCAGCAGTTCCTCTGAGATAAACAGGTCATGATTCCCATGACATCTTATCCAGGTGACTGTCAAGTTTAAGAAACTTGGATACCCGTGCTTCAAAAGTTTCAGATTCATAAACTTATGGGCTTGCAGAGCTAGAAAATACCTGTGTTCAAAGTTCTGTATAATTGTTTTGTTTACATTGGTTTAATGCATAAGGAAACCAAGTCTCAGAAAAACTAAATTCCTTAACTGGCCATCCAGCCTTCCCGGCAGGCCCCAGTCTGGCCATCCTCCAGCTGTTTCTCCAACAAGGCCAAGAGCTCACAGGTCCCAAGAGAATGACCTCTGGACCCAGAACTTTCAAATTTTCTGTCCAGTGGTCTAAAACCTGTTTCCAGGGCAGAGATGGCTTCCTTCTGGATCAAGAGTGGTCTTGATCATGCAAACCAGCACCTACACATGACATGTGAAGCCTCTTGGAGAAGCAGAGGAAGGAAGAAAAGAGGAGTGAGCCCTGGAGCACCTGGCTGTGCAACACCATGGTCCAGTGTGGAATGCCAAGGAAACCAAGAAGTTGAAATTTGAACCTAGGTCATTACAAAGTTTGCCATTTAGCAGTTTGTTCAGTTGGTTTCTAACTGTAAACATTGTGCACATAGGATATGAGCACTCGTAAAGATGTTCTCTTTAGGCAAATTCCTGAGCAGCAGTCAGACATCAAGGCTCAGACATTGTGTCCCATGAGGTAAGATTTGCTCAGATTAGAGTGGTTTTGTACTTCTATAGCTTTCATAAACTATCACAGCTTGGTGTAGCCAAACCCCATAGTGTTGAGTCATGGAGAGTTTCAGGGTAAATTTCATCCACAGAAAGTACCTGCAGAGCTATTCCTGGGTCTGTTTAAATGACACTGACCATGCTAAGGAGAAGCAAAAGTGTAAGCAAAGGGATGGGGAGATGAAATGGAAGGCAGAAGAGGTCAAAATGCATTCAGTGCTCCATACCCTGGGAACAAAGCAGTGAACAAGCTCATCTGTCTTTGGTGTCAACATTCTAATGCAGGATGGGCAGACTTTTTTGGAAAGGACCATACAGTGAATATTTTCAACTGCGTAGATCTTGTGGTCTCTGGTTACAACTACTCGCCTTGGCTCTTATAGCACAGAAGCAACCACAGATTGTGCATAGAAGAATAAGCAAGGCTTGATGCAGCCCATGGCCATTCTGTGTCCACCTACTCTGGCAAGTAAACCGAGGAAAGTGTTACAGGGACATTAAAAATAGTTCCATTTGGGAGCTGGGGATATAGCTCAGTGGCATAAGCACCTGCCTGGCAAGTGCAAGGTCCTGAGTTCGATCTCTGGTAGCATAAAAAACAAACAAACAACAACAACAAAAAAAAACAGTTGCATTTACCTTTACCAAACCCCTCATACCAATTTTTCCTTTTCCCTTCAAATAACTCATTTGACTGGGACAGCAGATGTTCAAAGGTAAGTCTAAACACAGAGAATGGGAATCATTTATCAAGATCAAGACTAACTTTAGCTCTCCTACCTTGCTAATATCCCAGGGTAAAAGATAATCTCTATCAATAGCAACTAACTACAGCCAGCCTGCAGGAAGGGGTACTGAGCCTGGGTTTTACCTGCCTCTAGCATCCATCCCACTTCACGCAACAAGATGGTTTATAGTTTCCAACTTAAACAGGTGCCTGAGGATTCGGCTCTGAGTACCCATGCCAGTTCCCTCAGCTAAGAACCTCTACAGAAATTTTTAAAATTTAGTTTTAAAATTATTTACTTAATATTATTTAAGATTAGTTTTAAAATTTAGACCTTTGGGCAAAATCCAGGGAAGAAGTAGGAAAATGCTGTTTATTTCTAGTGTCCATGCTGGAGAGAGTTTCCCTTTTGGGGAGCATCCAGTGGTATTTGCCACTATGAATATTCTGAGAGCTATGGAACATAAGCATTTTTTAAATTATTTTTTATTTTAAAGAAGAAAAAAAAATAATAAAAACAATGATACAAATTTTCAAAACAAAATAAGAGGACAATGACAATGGTAAATACATTGCATGTTGTTATCTTCAAAGTAGTTGCTCAGATTACAAGATATAAGCATGAAAAATTGATCAGACATTACAGACTGAGTCTCTATCCTCCAGGCATGTGTGGCACACAGCAGATCCTCACTCAGAAGCCCCAGGGACTTCTCTGGCTAGGGGGTGGGCGTGTGTAGCCCCTCCCTGGGCATGCCCTGCACCAAGTGAGCAAGTGCTCCAAGAGCTGCTGGTCCTGTGGTTTGAGTCCATGCTTTACTTTAGCCAAGACCCCCTAGGGGGTCGCAGGCATGGGCAGTCTGTGATTACTGCCCGTCCAGCATGCATCTGGTTCCTGTATGTGTCCTGAACTGACTGGAGACACAGAATCAGGTGGTTCACAAACTGTCAACCCTGCAGTTTGTGTCTGGGTTTTGCCTGTACCTTGAACTGCCTGGGGACATAGGTCCACTGGACCTTGATTGTCACACCAGTGCCACCCGAGTCTGGGCCGTGCATGTGCCCTAAACTACAAGGGGATGCTGGATCAGACAGTCTGTCATCAACTGACACCAATGCCCGTGTCTGAGACCTGGGATAACTAGATACAAATCAACAACAGCCAGAATACCCGAGACTAAGTAGTGCTTCTCAGGGGTCACTGAGGGGCAAACCTAACCAACAGGAAAACTAGGGACACTAGTGGCCTTTGCTGTGCAGCTACTGAAGAGGGAAACTGAGCTTTCTGCATCTGGTAGCCAACATAACAAAACAAAGGACTAAAACACAATCCCAGAATTCCACCCCACTCAGAACAAGTCCAGGAAACATCAACAGAGGAGAAGTTGGTAAACACATGCCTGAAATACCTGAAATGATTGCAATGGAAGTAAAGAAACAACTCCATAAGGCCATAGAAGAGATGAGATCAGAAATATTCTCTCAGGCAAAAAGTGAAATGACAATAATAATGAAGGAACTGCTCAAAAAGTCTGAAGAAGAAACATACAAGAAAATAGAAGAACTAAGGCAAGGGTCAGAAGCATTCAATGAAAAATATAGAAAGGACTTAGAATGAATGAACCAGATTCAAAGAGACTTCCAGGAAAATAAAGCTTCCATCAAAAGCTGTGAAAACCCCTTGAATGAAGCTGAAGATAGAATCTCAGACTTTGAAGACATCATGGCAGCTAGCGACCGTGAAAGAAAGGATCTCGTAAAATTAACAAGGATCCAGGAAAAGTCAATTTAACAGCTGCAAGATGAGGCAAAGAGGAATAATGTACAACTTATAGGAGTCAATGAAACAGCAAGAAGGAGCACAACTGACATAAAAAGAATATTTGCAGAAGTAATAGCAGAAAATTTCCCAAGCATGGAAACAGAACCTGATATACAGGTAAATGACGCATATAGAACTCCAAACAACCATAACCAAAATAAAACTACACCCAGCCATATAATAGTCAAGTTCCCAGATCTCCAGCAAAAGAACAGAATATT